TGCACTGCCCTCTCCAGCCAGCAGGTGGGTCCATTTGTCCAGTTGGGGTTAATATGTATATATTATTGTGTACTCATCCTTTAATTTGTTCTGCAGATTGTGAAGATTCTGGGTCTCTACACTCCCCACAGTGACTTAGACGAAAGAGTCACTCTGAATTTCATCCGTATCGTCCAGGTATGCTACGTCAGTGAGGTTTGACGTGTTAAGATAGCGTTTCTCACGTTTGTAATCTCTGTCTCTGCTGTTTCAGGGGCTTCTCAAAGGCCGCTCTGGCAGTCAGCCACCGCATCTGCTAATGGAAGTGAGGAGAGTGTTTCCAGTCACTTTCCCCCGCTTGCCTCCACCCGTCCTCAGTGCTGAGCAGTTAGTCATCCCAGATTCCCTCAAGATCTCTTTTCTACGCAAAGCATAAACAAAACAAGAGGCAAACCAGCAAATTTAACTCCCAGTCTACTGAATTTAGATGTGTGAAATCTGCATAACTTCAAGGAGGTGCTGTGAATTGAATCCCTGTCTCAGATTTTTAGCAGCCTCTTTTAATTAAACATATTCGTATAGAAGGTCACCGGCTGTGTCAAAAACATACAGTGGGATGATTGCGAAGGGAGAGCAAGACGTCTTTTGTTTATAGAACCCTAAATAAACCGACTTAACCTCATCCCAAGCAACAATATGCATGTAGGCTGCTGCTGGGAATCCAAATTGGAAACAGAACCCAACCAAAATGATCTTAGTCTGTGAACAGAGCTTGAAGATGGAGACACACTATAGCAAGAAAGGAATATACAAGAGTACCCTCTTACCCAAAATTCCAATTTGGAAAATCCTGGATGTGGATAGTTTGATTTGACCTGTGCATGAATGATTTGCTACAGAAAGACATCTGAGGATGCTCATATCATTATACGATATTGTACTATAGATGGCTATGTTAAAAATATACATCGGCATGATTACTGGAGCAAAGCAAGAGAAACAAATGTGTATTAAAAATGCAGCTCTGTCTCTGTCCGGTTTGACAAACAGGGAACAAGATTTGAGCCTTTTCTTTTTCATATTTTATTGGAAGCAGAAACACAATGAGACTGCAGTCCCAGGAACCTCGACCCCCAATAAGAACAACCAGAATAAAAAAAAAACAAAAAATTAGAAACATCTCGTGTATAAAAAAATGTCTCATGCGAGTACTTTGTACCACTACACATCATCAGTAATACATATTTATATATTCACAAACATTTGAAAAATAGAAAACAACGATGAAATATCAAAATAAAGGAGACGACGATTGGCAATTAACATCAAATAATTATGCGTGCTGGCACAATACATTTTTTTCTCTTTTTTGTTTTATTGTTCCTATCATGCACCGTTTCTGGAAGTACAGGACCGGCATCGGCTGTGCAGGTGTCTGTCCGGACAGATCATGCATGTCTGTCTGCTTCTTGTGTCTCTGTGTGCTTTTTGTTGTGCTTCATCTGCGAGCCAACCTGATAGCCCAACACGCAAACTGAGCCTCTGAAGGAGGAAGAATTCCCTTGACTAAAGCATCATTGTCAACAGCAATAAATAAAGATTTTTTTTTTTTCTTCGTGGCATTTCCAGCTATGTGACAGTTGTGTACCTGTTATTTAAAGTTATTAAAAGACTGTGCAGATGTCCTCTTTGAATAAAAGACCTTGTACACACCAGAGTGACTCAAAGTATTTAGATATGGGTTGATTTTAGGGTCTAAGTTGTTTGATATATAAAGAAACTGGCACATTACTTATTTAACTCTTAAAGTTTCATTCCATCTCAAAACAGCAAATTTTTTAGAACAAATTCCGTCTCTGATTTGTCTGAAAGTTTTTATAGCATAAAATATAGAGTTTTATAAAGATATCTGGGACATATTAGCTTGGATATCAAATACTTTCAGAGATAAAACTTTTCAAAAATTCCCTGTTGATCCACTTTCAGCACATTTTTTTAGAAACATTGTTTGGACGACCGTCTCTCAGGAACTATAAAACATAAAATCTGAATTTTTTACTGTTATTTCTCATCATGTTGTTGATTCAGAACTTCAATATTATGGTTGAGTTGAAATGTGAAATATGATATAAAACAAAAAGAGCTGATATGAAAAGTTCCATCTTTAAGCACACATTAATGAAGAAATTGATAATGCATAAGTTAACTGGTGATATTTTCTGAAACATATGTAGTTACGTAATACAACAATAAAAAGCAAAAAACATAGAACACTTCATATGAAAAAAAAAAAGGTTCATTTTAATTATTCCTCAGGCTTCAGTTTTTTTCTTTCACATTTCAGCTTCCTCATTAACAGAGACTACTTGATCTACTTAAATTGCAGATTCTAAACCAACAACATGGTGAGAAATAACTGAGAAAAAATCAGGCTGTTATCTTGAATAGTTCCTGAACTATTGTTGTTTAGCCTCAAGTTTCTATGTGTGGAACAAACATAATGCTCACAGGTTGAAGGGCATTTAAAAAAACAGTTATCTCTGAAAGTATCTGACATATCAAGCTACAACTTTACAGACTTAATTCTAAATATGTATAGTTTGTGGTGATAAAGTTTCAAGCGAATCAGAGCTGAAGGCCCCTGATGAAACTAATACAAACAGTTTGTAGCTCATCTCCAGTGTGTACACGGCCTTCCTATACCTTTCAGCAAAAGCTACATATCCAGATTGGGCATCCACACACACGTCATTACCAACCACCCAGTCGCCCCAGAGCAAAATTCAAGTCTACAAAAGAGCAGCAAACTTCACTTCACATAGTCTGACGTGTGTTTGTTTACATCCGAGCTATTTACAACAATCGATCTCTGCTCTAGATTATTTTTTCCCTCCGCGCCGAAAAGCTGTACAAACAAATCTCGGTCTCTAATCAGCTCTACGACAGCTGCGATATTTGGCCCATTACGATAGAGACAGCATTTACAACATATCAGACAAACACTTGTGCTGATATAATTAGAATAATAATCCACAATGTAAACATTATAAGACTGCTCGACTCATCTACGTAGATTTAATAGATCAGATGCATAGAGTTCAGTTCTTACACCTTGTTCAAATAATGGGGGCCTTTTAAATTATTTAGCAAGTGGTGTTCAAGGGGGAGGAAAGGCCCTCATTAGCGGCAATGAGGAACTGGAAAAAATAAACCACCAAACACCCTGTTATTATGTCTCTTTTTTTTTTTTGAGTCCCGAGGACCCCAATCATCATTTCCTTGCCTGTTCACAAGCATACAAACCTCTTATAGATAAATAAAACAATCTTCATTTTTTCTTCTTCTTCTTCTTATAAAATAAGGTTCATTCAGTGAAAATAGAAGTAGCATTAAGAGACATGCTCGACAGCGAATAGTCCATTTAAAACATTTAAGTCTTACACGAAAGTGACAGTCGGTTTCACCGCTGGATGATTCGAAACGATTCCTGCGATCTCAAACGATTACTGAGAGACGAAAAAACGTGACAGGATCAGAGTATAAATGTGTTATTACGGGTGCAGCAAAGACCCTGTGCTTCTAAAAATCTTCACACGACACGTCGCTTTCTCTACACTGATTCGACTAAAAGACTAGACTGTAGGCCCTCTTTTAAAATGTCAGCGCCAGTACCTGGTGTGGTCTGGGTCTGCAGCCCTTTAGCAGAGGTCTTACTTCTCAATCAGGATTTACAGCACCTGCAGCTGGATCTTTAGGAAACCGGCTGTTGGATCGCTTGTGCTCTCCCCGGGGTGCTTACATGTGGATATTATACCTCGGAGGATGTTGCTTGGCAAAATAGGGTCTCGGGGATGTATTTATCTTTTTATGCATGTTGGCATGTACTTTTTTGTTTTTTAAGAAAAGGAGGTGGCAGTTGAGCGTTTCCTCCTCTATAATGCACCGCTCACACACCCACTAAAGGGCTGAGGAATGTTTGCAGTAAAACCAAAAAAGAAAAAAGAAAAGAAAAGACGGAGATAACCATCTTGTAAACAGAAACGACTATCTCCCCGAATCGGATTATAAAATCAACACCCGAAACCCTTCCCCTCCCTGTGTGACGTTCTTTGCTCGTGATGGCTTTCTGTGATTACGTTTGCAGGTAACAGGCAACACGGGCGGCTACGTGAGGTCAACATTAGTACAAACACACTCGCGCGTTGTGCTCAAATCACACATTCACACGCACACACAATCTGATGAATCACAGTGCTTTCATCAGAGTCCTCTCCCCATACAGTCGATATACAGGAGACAGACGGACGGACTGTACGAGGGTCAACAAGACAGAAGGCATTGAGGGTGTCAGGCAGTGTGCTCTGTTACAGGGTGGACGGACAGAAAGACAGACAAGGACAATCTTTCAAGCACCACACGTCCATCGAACAATCCTGTGTGTATCTTTACATATGTCTTTCATGTTTTTATAATATGTATATTTATATATTTATATATATATGATGATATATAGAATTACTAAAATATAATCTGGAAGAAAGAAGTAAATAAATATTAAACTTATCATAACTAAATAGTGCTTTGTTCCCAGTGTGTTGTTCCCCACCCGATATCTGGAATGTTTAAAGCCATGCGGCCATTGTTGTTGTTGTTATTGTTTGTGGGTCAGTCGGACAGTTGGTCCTGTTGTGCTTAGGGCTGGTCTTGGCATTTTTCAGCGATTATCTGTTGGCACTTGCGGTCCCTTCTCTACACGGGTGCAAAGCAGGGAAGGGACGAGAGGAACTGGGTGGAGGGGTAGAGTTGAAAAGGCAGAGAGAAGTGAGAAGGAAAGCCAAAATATTAAAGGCTACAAGATATTTCTCACCCTGACCAGTCAAATGAGGTGTGTGTGTGTGTGTGTGTGTGTGTGTGTGAGGAATGGCATGACTCCCCTCTAGAGGAAAGTAGATATATTCTCTACGATTGAACTCTATCGAAAAGATGGTGGATAATATCGTTAACTATAAAGACACTCTTTCTTTTTTTTAAGAAAATGTGTGATGCTCTGATTAGCACTGTATCTTCTCCACTCAAATAAATGTATTTACAGCATCGGATGTGTGGTGACTGTCGTCTTATCTGTGCTTTTACAACACTTGGATCATCAGGGCAGTGGCTTGCAGTGGCTCAGGAGAGCTCCGGGGCAGTAGTAGGTCTGATTTTGGCTTCAGACGGGGCTTTTTAAACTCTTTTTTTTTTTGCCTCTTAGCTGCGGCCCTCCTCTGCGGAGCGCTGGTCGGACTTGAGCTTGACGAACTCCTTGGCCACGTCGTCGTTGTTGCGCTGGGAGAGGATGCGCAGCACGGTGAGGCCCGTCTCGTCCATGTGGATGCGTTTGCCCAGCGGCAGCCAGCAGGCGACGCTGCCTTTGGAGGCCACGTCCTTCAGCTGCAGGACGGCCATGCCCACGGTGCGGTCCTCTCGGGCGAAGCAGTAGTCCTTCACACACACCTGCAGCTCGTAGCACTCGGGACCCACCTCGTTGCTGAGGGTGCTGCAGAGCGGAGAACGTGCTGTGTTACTGAGGCACCTCCATCATCAACATCACACCAAAACAAACCTCATCAGCTACTTACAAAGTGAAGGTTTCGTTGTATTTGGGCGCCCAGCTGTTGTTCTTCGACTTGGTGGCGTACTTCCTCTTCTTGTCGCTGAGGTGAGGGCCGATGATGTAGACCTCCACAAACGGCCGGAATATTCCCTGCGTCTGCCACCTCAGGTCATTGGCAGCCACCACTGAGTCACAGAGAAACAAGAGGAAGGAAAAGAGAGTGGGAAGGTGTGGGTGATTGTGAGAAAGATTCATGTGGAGAAAATGTGTGAAAATGTGGAGAGAGAGAGAGAGAGCGAATGAACAAAAAAAAATCAGAACAAGAAAATACTGCCTCTCCCTCAGGCCTCACATTCAGTTCCTTGCCGAGATAGCGAGAGTGGAATTGGGATATTATTTCATTACAAAGTCATATTTTTCTTTGGCAGCTGAGAAGAAGTTTTATGTTGGTGCACTGTTACGGCAATATTGTTGTGCATGCAGTCTTTTTTTTTTTTTGTTCCCACTGACATTAGAACAATGGCAGTTATTAATAACTACTTCTGTTACATCACCTGAGGTCTTATCACTGAACATCTGCCCTCTTTAATGTTTGGCAAAATAAATAGGATTACTGGTTGAGAATTGTTTTTTTGATCGCTCAGTTGTCAAAGGAGATGATTCCGTCTATATGCGAGCTACAGTGCCTTTAAGAAGTATTCACCTCCCTACATAGTTTTCCCCTTTGATTTCTTTTCAACATCAAATCAACTTAATTTGGTCTTTTTTTGCAGTAATTCCCAACAAAGAAAAAACTAATTTCTACAAAGTAATGCCAATGATTAAAAATATAAAATGTGAAATAAGTGAATAAGTCTTCACCCCATCTATAGCAACTAATGCAACAAAGATGAAAAGTCACACAATTAATGCATCTCAGGTGATTGTAGTACAAAGACACCTGTATCTGGAAGGTCCAGTCACTGGTGCATCAGTCGTTCTGGATATAACTACACCATGAAGATTACAAGAAAACTTTCAAGTCACTGAATACCCCTTTGGAAGTCGTCCTCAAAAACTGAGTGATAAGAAAGAGCAAGAGACTAGAGGCCACCAAGACACCTATGATTCCTCTGAAGAAGTTACAAGCTTCAGCTGCTGAGACAAGAGAGACAGTGCATGCAGCAGCTATTGTCTAAATCTCAACTAGAGTTCACTAGAAGGCATGTGGGAGAATCTGAAGCCAACTGTAAGAAGGTTCTTTGGTCTGATGAAAATCAAGCTTTTTGGCCATCAGACTAGACATTATGTTTGGCGGACACCAAACACTGCACATCATCAGAAACACAGCATCCCCATTGTGAAGCATGGTGGTGGCAGCATCATGATGATGTGGGGATGCTTCTCCAAAGCAAGCCCTGGTAGGTTTGTAAAGGCAGAAAGTAAATTTAATGCAGCAGAAGTATAGTGAAATCTTGAAGGACAACCTGGAAGAAAACTGCGACTTAGGAGAAGATTTGTTTTCTGACTTGAAGCATACAGAAAAAGTTTTTACAGACATGCTTTAAAGGCAAAGATGTGAATGTTCTGGAGTGGCTGAGTCACAGCCCAGGTCTCAATCCAATTAAGACTGTGAGGCTTGACTTTGAAAAGGGTTGTTCTTTCACAATCCCTGTTTAACAAGACAGAGCCTGAGCAGTTTTGTAAAAAAGAATGTGGTAAAATTAGAGTGTCCAAGGCTGATTGAGACCTACCCACACAGGCTCAGTGCTGTAAAACACTGACTAGACTTTGTGTTTTCACTTTGACATGAGGGAGTCTTTCATTGTACATTCTTGTCAAAAAAAACTTGCAGAAAGGGTGAAAACTTTTTAAGGGCAATGCACGTTTAGGACTGTTTTCACTGAGCAAACACTGTCCACTGAAGTCAAACGGTGTGACACATTTAAAAGCTCTGAAAAAAGAAAGCAGACTGTTATTTCCAGCATTGAGAAGAAACACTCTCATGCTTACTGATCCATTTTCCAAAGGTGAAAACAAAAAGGGTGAAAAAAAACCCCCACCAAAAAACCTTTTCCCTTTACCTTTGACTGTTACTTTGTGCTCTCCGGTGTTCGGGTGAGTGAAAATCTCCACATGGATGGACACTTCCCCCACGGCGTCGTCCACCCCGGAGCCTGACGGGAACAAACAGAGAGCAGGTTTGCCGTTAATACCCCTTGAATGTGAAAAGCGTGGAGAAAGCTTTGTGCTCCTATCACAGACCAAACATTAACAGAAGTCACTGCGCCCTCTATTCCGAGTCCTCCTCCACATGCGAGCGCGAAAACAAAGTTACAGACCAATTCCATTTCAATTTCACAGCGTTGAAATGGATTTCGTTATAACCTTGTGGATTTTAGGCAGAATGCTGAAACTGTGTCTTCATACTAAAATAATCATGGCGTAACAGGAGGACTCGAAATAAAGCAAAGTGATCGGTTTGTGCACATGTTGTGGTCTGGAAGTGGACAATCAGACAAAGCAGCTATGAGTGGGCAGAAGTGTTTTAAATATAGGAAGCACAGCCTTAATATATGAACCGATGGAAGTTCTCGCATCTCTAGAAACTCTGTGCAGCAAAGAGTTTTGTTACTGACCTGAAACGACTGTGCTATTTTCCCCAGCGGTGCATTGTACATTATGATTAGACCCTGACTGAGAGCAGCAGCCTTTGCACGAATTCAGCAACACAGAGGTAATAATTTGGATTCGGCGAGGACAGTAATTTGTGCCCACTCATAGACGCGTGGTGTCTGTTAGGATGCAGGGTGGTTAGTAGGAGGCTCAGAAGAAGACAGAAGAGAAGCTGCAGAAGGTCAAACCGACAGTGTGGTTCCCCCTCCCGCCCTCCCGTCCCTTCGATATGGATCAGGTCAGGGCATGCTCAGATGGATCTAGACAAGGTGGACACACCCATTCCTTGGTAAACACTTTTACCCAAGCATGGTATTAGGAAGAAAAGAGGAAGAGCACCACACGGAGAGAGAAGCAGCTCAGCCTCTCGGATCTGTCGGTGAAGGACGACATCCTAAATAAAGCTGCGCTGCGTGAGGAGACACATGTTTATCATCATTTTAGGAAATTTTACAGCTCGAGTCTTCTATAGGGACAAAATTGCCATTCTCATTACAGCCTCATTTGAGTTTCGATTTTGTCTGCAGAGCTTCACATATTTTTCTCCTACAACTCAGAAATAGGTGAGAGAGGAGGAGGACAATTAGCAACAGGTGTCATACTAGAGGCTTAAAGGAAACACCTTCTTAAGCTCAACTACTTGCTTCGTTTTTTCTCAGTTGAGCTACATATGAGGTATATAAGAGCTTTATTTAATACAAGTATAATACAATAACTGAGCTAAATTATACAGAGGTGTCTATATAAGTATACATGTATATATACATGTGTAAATACATTTATAGCTCATATATGGCTCACATGTAGCTCAATTAGTCGACTCCTGTTGCTAATTGTCCTCCTCCTAACCCACCTGTCTTGTGAATTATAGGGAAAAAAATATGAGAACAATGTCAGACAAAAGTGAGAATGACATTTTTGTCTCCCAAACTATTGAAGAGCAAGCTCTGAGCTATAAAGTTTTCCTTTACTGGGTGTTTTAACTCTTTTACCCTCATTTTTTCTGAGGGTTTAATGTGTTTCAACCATTTGCAAGTCTGTCTGTCAGATCCGCACCTCAGCTGCTGTGAGATTTAACTTTTTCCTCAACTTAAATGGAAGTCTATGGAATAAAAGGTCTGTTGTGCATGTTGGTGACAGGTTTCAGTTACACTTTTTAGAACCCCAAATATTAAACTCTCCATCCAAGATGACTCTGCTGTAGACCTTCACAAGCTGGTTCTGTACTTCTAGCTGCAGGGCTGTTTCAGGACTAGAACGATTCTGACCTCTCATGGTGGCTCTTACTCTTTTGTCTGGGAGGGAGACTGTGGACAAATCTTTCCTTTGTGGTTTTTGTGCCGCATGTGAACAAGTGGTTTTTATCCACATACGACTCCTGAAGGATACGGTGACAGATGGACATTAATTTTCAATGTTTTAATTAGTGTCTTCGCTCTGTCAACGGTATCTTTGTGGCAGCGACCAGCAGCCTGTATGTGTGTGTGTGTGTTTTTTAAACCAGCCGCCCACTAAACAAGGTGTCTGTGGGAGTTAGACGGCAGAGTGTTCCTGGCATGCAGCTCTCTGCAGCTCTCGAGGGAGCATTATGGGATTGTTGGTCTCGCTGCCAACAGGACCAAAGACGGCAGCAGTCATCCATCTGGCCTCGTCTACTCTGTGGAGGACGTCCATAAAAAAAGATGAGAAAGAAACTTTGCTGGCCGGGAGGCAGGAACGCGTTGCCAAGAAAACGCGGCCTTTTTCCTCTTTAACAAACACAACAATCAGAGGTGCACGTTTTCCACCATATTGCAAATCTTCAGCGGAATAGGCATTAAAATCTCAGACTGCGATGGTGCCAAAGCGTCACCCGAGTTCGCTGCACGTTCACTCTCAATAATTTCACTTACAAATATTGCCGCTCACAGCCTGCAGTGTTCAAGAACTGCAGTCGCCACTGATCAAAGTCTTCTTTTAGCCGCAGTCAAGTTCATACGAATAAATTCCACTGAGCTCCGTTCATTCATCCTGCTCTAATCATCCGCTCTAATAAGGTTGGAGAAACTATTCAGTGAAATCTGACTGACAGCGAATTAATTTGCATTCTTGTTATAGTCAAGGACATTCAGCAGCTGGCAGGACGGCTGAAGACACACTGCTTTGTACATGCATAATCATTTTAATTTTATAAGTCACCAATTACCTAACGGTGAAAGGTAACCATCGCTAAATGCTCTGTAAGAATCAAACACCACTGAAAGGACAAAGTTGAAATAATTGACTTAAAATTTGCCTGCTCTGACTTCTCGCTCAAATTTTTTTCAGTTTCAAAAAACTTGGGATTTAGATTTCTTAAGGTTTGCAGATTAAAGTTAGGAATTAAGTAAACTGTGTTGAAACTGTTACATTCAATATTTCTCAGATCTAAATTCCTGTCATGTCAGACAACTTTTAAAAATACAGATCAAATTTACACACAAGGGAGTGATTGTCAGGGGAGTGAATCAGTCCTTAAAGTTTACAGTTTGTCACGAGTCAAGAAAGAAACGCTCACTTAAGCCACTAAAAACACAGTTTTTAAATATTAATTTGTGAACAGAAAGAATAAAATCAAGTATTTGAAATTGCTTTCCATGAGTTTAACTGCTAATTTTGGATTTTTGATGTAGATTTTTTCAGGAGTAAAAACCTTCATATCAACATATCAGCCAATGTTTTTGTATAAATACACAAATATAAATGTATTTACCTACAGTATGGTAAGCTTAAGAGTTGGAAAAGGGAAATCAGTTCCTAATTATTGGTTTATTGCCTTTCCAGTAACGTATTGTGAAAACACCGCCTGACTCTGTTGTGATACTCTGCTACATGTGCTGCAGACAGAGCAAACTATGTGAAAATGCTGCTTCTGAATTACCGCAAGCATCTTTTTCTGCATTATGTTCAGCACAAAAGTTGTGATATTGGTATGTATTGGCCAACATAAACACTGATATCGATATATGTATGATAAGCCAACATGGGCTAATCTATATGGTATCTATTAAGCCCACATACATTTAGACAAATGGTCTTTAAAGTAAAGTATTTCAATGCAGTCCATTCACTGGTATTTAAATTTCAACATTCAGTTGTCTGCAGTGGTTACATTTTACAATAAAGTATTCAGCTTCTTATAAAACAAAATAATTACTGCATTTCTTCACAATATTTAAAGCTGTATGACACAAGCTTAATATTTTTTATACGCATATATATATATTATAGGATATTTATTTATTTTTTTGTATGAGCTGTATTGTAAAAGAGATATTACTTTTGTCCCTATTGTAGCTTGAAATTTCCAAAATTACATTTGTTCCAGCTGATTACTTCAAAAAATACACACTGCTGTCATGATGACAAACTACTTCTGCTGTAAATATTGATTAATTTGCAGCTTATTTTCACAATGAGTTAATTAATTGCTTTGCAGATTAAAATGCAGAAAAAAAAGCCTAATTTACCAAAGGCCAACATATTTAAATAGGTTTGTATTTGCTTCCAAACTGATCTCTTTGGCCTCAATCCAGAATAAATCAACACAACTTGCTGTGTAACACTTCTGCTTCTGGGTTTCTCTTCCCAGAGTGTTAATCTTTTCACTTCCAGCTGTCAATCTGAGATGAATCTCATTGTCAAAGCATCAAACGTGACCGAGGAGAGTGAATTAGCTGAATGCATACAGCTGCAGCACGACGAATATACAGTATGTGAGAAAGAGTCAGATCTTTTTTATCTTAATCTAAAGTGACAGAAATCGGACCACCTGACCCGAGGGACTGTTTCTGATTGGCTCAATCTGTGGCGGTGGGGTGGGGATGAGTCGTGCAGCCTTTCTCATCACTGCTTTAGGCAGCTGTGTGGGTGTTTTTGTATGTGTCCGCCTCCGCCTGTGTTTGCGCGTGATGATAGAGCAGGCAAGGACAGGGAGCCCTCCCAGACAAACTGAGCCAGCAGCCATCATCATCTTCATATTAATCCTTCTCCTCTTCATCAGCATTTCCAAAAAAAAAAAAAAAAACAGCAAGCGGGGCGGTAACGTCGGAGGATTTCCTCTCTGGGTTCCTCACTGAAGACAGATTAAACTCAGTGCTTCTGCTTCTACAACCTTAAGGAGAGTCTCAGTCAGTCACATTGCTCTGCTCAGTCAGTCACTCGTCCACGTGAACACACACACACACACACACAATCACACACACACAGGCACACACTCGGCCCTTTGGCTTCTCTCTATGACATCATGCTGCATCAAAACTCCTCCACACTTTAATGCATTGCTATTATTTTTGTCTGATGTCCGCACATCATGCTTGAGCGTCTGCTCATACATACCGTCCGTGGCGTATGTATTCAGCGCAGTCCCGTACATACAGACATCAGTGTGTATATTTCATGCATGAATGCATAAAGTCAGTGTGCTTTTTGTTGTGCTGTATGTGTGTGCAAAAAAAAAAGGAAAAAACGAGTTTCAATCTGTGCATTGCATTTGTCTGTTGGGATGAATTGGAGCAGGCAAGGAGGAGGAAGGGGGGGTTTCAGGATGCACATGGGAGGTGGTGGTGGGAGGTGGAAGGGATTTGGGCTTTGTTCTGGAGGGCTTTCTGGTAGTCCTGGATGTCTCAGGCCCCTCCGAGCCTGAGTGCCACATACCCTTCTCTGGGTAAACATCCTCACTAGTGGTGAATCTCACCCCCTTCCCGCCGAACACTGGCCCACAGACGGGGCAGGAAGAGGGAGTAGACAGAGAGAGGAGAGACACGCAGAAATATGAGGTTTGAAGAATTACAGAGTAGAAAAACAGCATGTATAAGCATTTTCACTGATGTCGGGAGAAACTGAGGCATTTCTACTGAATCTGCTCCTTCTTTCCATAGAGACGCAGGATTTTATATTGCACTGAAGTGAGTTAAAAATGTGACAGGAGCAAAAAAAAAAAACGCAGAGAAACTTCTTGAGGTTTAGAGGATGAAGTGGGCAAGAAAAGAGAGCAGACCGAGAGAGAGGAGAGACGAAGAAATATGAGGTTTGCAGAGGTTGAATTGAAGAATTACAGAGTAGAAAAACAACATGTATAAGCATTATTTCCTGGAGTTGGGAGTAATGTAGGCATTTCTACTGAATCTGCTCCTTCTTTCTGTAGAGATGCAGGATGTCATATTGTACTAAAAAACTTAGCTCGCGGCGAGTTAAAAATGTGACACTAGCAAAAGAAAATGCAGAGATTTTGTTTGAGGTTTTAGAAGATAAAGTGAACTGGGCAAGAAAAGGGAGCAGACAGAAAAAGTAGAGACACTTATACAAAATCTGAGGTTTGCAGAGGTTGAATTGAAGAATTAGGAAGTAGAAAAACAATATGTGTAAGATTTTTTACCTAAAGTTGGGGGAAATTTGTACTACATTGGCTAACTTTTTCATTAGAGATGCAGTACTTAAATTTTACTGAAGTGAGTTTAAAATGTAACAGGAGCAAAAAAACTCAGAGACCTGTTTGAGGTTTAGAGCGTGAAGTTAAACTGGGCAAGAGGAGGGAGGAGACAGAAAAAGCAGAGACACTTAGAAATGTTAGGTTTGCGGAGGTTTAACTGAACAACATGTAAAAGCATTTTCCCTGGAGTTGGGAGAAACTATCTATTGAATCTTTCATTTTTTCTTTTGATCTGCTCACACGGATCCACTGCTGCAAAACATACTTAGGTATGCAGCAAAAAAACAAAAAAAACAAAACAACGCATGGCATTTTGCCTAATTAAATTTTAAACGATCATCCACTCAAATGGCGCTTTTCACCAGCGGCGCTCGGGGACAGCGTGTCAGCATCAGCTTCCACAGAGATGACGGCTGCTGTGTAGCTATCTGACGGTGGGACGAAGGCTGAGCAACGGAATCAAAGAGCAGGGAGAAAAGAAAAGGGGTATTTATTTATTTTTCATTGCAAATAGCTGTCAGATCGCGTAAAGAACAGTTTCCGTGTTTCCGGAGGCTGGCTACAAGGAGACTCAGCGTTTCCGAGCTCTGAGGAAAAAAATATTTGTGCTGCCACGGCCTCGACTTTATGCTCTACAAAGCATGTGAGGTACTTTCAGGATATGCAGCTTGGCATTTGGGAAACCCTAACAGAGGTAGCGGGAGACACGGGGTCCTCTGAGAGCAAAGAAGCAGGAATCCATTGGAGAATTACGTAACAGAAGAATTAAGCAAATGAAGAGAATCCAAAAGCAGGGAGAAAAAAAAGGAGGATGAGAGAGAATAAAGACCATTAGGTTACCTTGTGCATTCTGTGACTGGACAAAGGTCTTAATAAGTTTGTCTGTGGCCTGCGTGTACAGCGACAAGGCGTAGTGGAGAGACTGGAGGTCGGGACTCTTCTCCAGGAAAGTCTTCTTCAGGCCGACGCCACCGGCATGGAAATATTGCTGAAATACAAAAAAAAAAAAAAAAAGCAGACAGACTGAACTTAAAAATAGCTGTTTACTAACATTTCTCTGTAGCAGACTATCAAAGACGGAAAGCTCGAAATGATTGAACATAGTGGAGCAATTATCCGACAGAGCGAACTACTACAGTGACGTCTGATGTTCCTGGGAATCCCTTTGTTGTGATGAGAGCAAAGGGAGTCGAACATTCACACACTGAGCTGCAACACAGGCTCGTTTAATGAATTCACCTCGTCAGCAGACAGGAATTAGAAACTACTTTTTAATTGTTTTTTTCCCGCGCTAACCAAACAACTGAAGCTCTAAAATGTGGATAGTTGCTGCTTTTACTTGTTTTGCATATTAGCAAATTAAATTTTTGTGGGGGAATTTGGATAGTTGGTTGGACACTTTACAGTCTTTCCTGGTGTTTTAAATGGTTAATAGGTAACAAATTATTCAGGGAAGGACAGCCCTGCAAAAAATCTGGGTTGATCAGGATTTGTGTCTCTGCTGCAGTAGCTGCTTGAAAATTGTAGATCCACTAATAACAACTCAATAAACACCCCGAAGAACTGATTAAATATGTATATAATTTTAGGCTTGTTAAGGTCCCTGTAGAGCTCATAAGACTGTGAATCATTTTGGTGCTTTGTCAGTTTTTGTGTTATGTTGAGATGCTTTGTGATTGGAAACTCAATTTAAAATGCCTTATTTTCCCCTTTGTAACTCAGAAAACTCTGATAAATCATTATTTAAAGTTTACTGGCTCAAACAATGATGATTATTATTATTATTTTTTAAATAAAAGTTAGGGTCCACTTCGGAAAAAAGCTGTCGATTTGATGTCTTGTTTCAAGTCTTGCTTGCATCTAACTTAAACATCCACACATCACACTTTAGTTGTTTTACTTTATGCTTGTTGCAGCTGAAGATCCTATAATCAATTTTTCATCTCATGTATGTATAAATACTGTTTCAGTATCTGTAATTTTAAATGCAGACGAGTTGTTGCTGTCTACGGCCTCTTCAGGAAGAAGACTGTCATTTGTGATTGAAAGTTCAGTAAATGAGTGCGAGACCAGGACTTTCTTTTGCTTCTAGCTTTCTCCTTGAGTGATGATATGACACGGAAATATTACAGAATTCACAACTTAAAACGTGTCGTTGTTGAGTTTCTCAGGCAGCATTGCGTCTATAAAATTAATATTTTAGCAGTTCAGAGCAGCAGCTTGGAAAACGGCTCTGAAGCGACCGCTGGCTCACATGTAGTTTTAATGAGCTGTGTTTCAGTCGCTGTTTTATACTTATTTTGTTGTATGACAATGAAAACACAGAGCTACATAAATAAAACCAGCTTCGTAGGGAATTCAGCAGTGTGTATGGTGTCCGCGGTAGAGCAGGTTGTCCTCTAATCGCAACGTTGGCGATTAGCCAGTCGCAGTGTCTTTGGGCAAGACACTGAATCCAAAGTTACCCAACGGCAGGCAGACACCTTGCATGTCAGGTCCATCGCCATTGGTGTATGAATGTGTATCTACTCTCAGATGTACGTTGCTTTAGATAAAAGTGTCTGCCAAATGAAACTGTAAATTGTATGTGAGCACAGAGAGCAGGAGAGAAGTAAACACCGGCTGAGTTTATTTTGCACTGAAGCACAAAGGCTGACATGACAACACAGTAACCCACCTGGTCCTTGTTTGTTAGTTTCAAATAAAGTTTTTATCATCTCTGGAAGTCTCTCAGCTTTAAATTCTTCACATAGCTCTGATTTGTGTGCATACATGGTGACATTAGCCACATTAGCTGCACAACATGCTAATGGAGAGGTCCTTCCTATGGATATGGTGACAGTAATGTCAAAAATAAAAGTCATCCACTGTGCCTTCAGTTCCTGAGATTCTGGTCGTGCATGAACACTCTCAGCAGAATGGCAGAAGTAAATTTTAACGCCTTTTATTCACACCTCCATGTTTAAAATAACCACAAAACGCAACAGAAATGGATTTTCACCACATGGAACCCTGGGATCACACTCCTACACGGACGTATATGTATATTGAAAGTGTAAGCGTGAATCTCTACCTTGATGGTGTCCAGCGCCAGCTCGATCACAGCACACTGCTTGGGTGTCAGTGCTTTGGCCTCCTCTCGAACCATGTGCTCCTTAAGATGACAAAGGGAGAAGCACAAAGAAGCAAAATGAGCAGTCTGTGTATTTGTACGCTCGTCTTCATATTTTCTAGGCGATTAAAGTCTCGGTCTGAAGCCCTGGTGCCAGGTCCGGGGCATCGCTGCGTAGAAACATATCGTACCTTCAGCTTGGACAGCTGTCCGAGCTCCTTGGCAGCGTTAAAGATGAGCTGAGTGCCCTGCGAGAGACAGAAAGACAGGAGGAGAAACAAGAAAGGTAGACGAGCAGAGAGAGAGGAGAGCATTGTTATTATCATGACAAAACAGGGCAGCGGTAAACGGCTTAGTGTCACACAGAGGACAGCGACGCTTCTGACACACACATTCATAAACAGTCACTCTAAGCCGCTTTACAGATGTCAAGGTACTTTTTCCTTTCAAGTGCTGTTATCACACTTATCTGTGTTTTATTCATTCCAAAACATTACACGCCGCTGCACAGATTCTCTCTCTCACACACACACACACACACACACTGAGACATCTCGGTACAAAGAGAAGGGAAAGTGACTCAGCTTGTAGTGAGGGCAAGAAAAGGAGACGTGCACTCAGTAACACACACATGCACACGCGCACACGCACACGTAGCATCTATACAGTTGCACTGTGATGTACGCAGGTATTACTGGAAGTCCAGCCTAATGCAATATAAGGCTAAATGCTGCAGACAGCACCTTCACATCTTATCTTTGGTTACAGCCTTAGACATGAAATATGGTTTTGCAGTAAACTCTTTGTTGCTACTTTTATCAGTCCTACAAACAACACCGGAAAAAAAAAAAACCTGAACAACATATTAGTTTTTTAGAGGAATGTCATCATAAAAACACTTTAGAAACTGTGTGAAGCTGTGTTTCTGATATTTCAGTCGCTGGTCGTGTGAGAGTCATCCAACCTCTTTCCACTGCTACAATGTGCTAAATTATCACAAAAATCGGGCAGATGGATGTGCTTTTTGTTGCAGGGGCTGCTGTGATGAACCGAACAATTATACTGCATTTGCTTCTGCCCCTACAAGCAGATTTTGTGGCCAATCATCACTGGCTTGTGTGAAGTTCTCTGATTTGGCTGTGATGTTGCTGGCAGTTGTACCACACCCTATTTTTCATCTGTGTTGTATTGTAGCAAAGCAGACAGCCTATCATGAAACAAAAAGCATGTTTAAAAAAAAAAAACTGGAGTCGAATTAACCCACTGAACCCCTAAAAGGCATGTTGTCTCAAATAAAAAGGTTGCCAAAATGACATGATATATCAGAGCCAAAAACTGTAAAAGCTGAAAAGAACTGAAAGAACTGTTGGATTTTCAGCCTTTAAACCCTGAACTACTAATCTGTGATGCAATCTTTGGTAACACTTGAAATAATTATCCGTTATAACTAGTTAATAGATCATTTGTAAACTGTTAGTTAGTGAGTTATTAACCACCTGTTAAGTGTTTGTTAATAGTTTGTTGATGATTTATAACGATGCCCTATAGATAGTTAATAAACCATTTACAAACTGTTAGTTAATGAGTTATAAATGACTTGTTGCAACTTTCGAATGACGTCCCAATAACATATATAAACTATTAACTGATACTTAACAAGTCATTAGTAAGTAATTCACTGATGGCTTGTTCATGATCTATGACTGGCTTATAAGGTATGGCTGTAAATCATTAATATACAGTTACATATAATATAAATCATCAACAAACTATTAACAAGCACTTAACAAGTGGTTAATAACTCACTAATTAACAGTTTACAAATGATCTATTAACTAGTTATAACGGATAGTTATTACAAAGTGTTACCCAATCTTCTGTTGTAAAACTGTGAAAACTGTGATATTTCATTAAAACTACCTTTTTATACATGTCTCAATTAAAAACAAGTCTATGAAAAACCAAAAAATTCTGCACTCGTTGGTGTAATTAGTGGCGCAGCTGCAACCAACAGTTACGTGGCAGAAATTCAGGAACCTTTCAGCTGAACTGGGTTGAACTGCAGGCTGTGTTTGCACAGAGTGGATAGGAGACAAGCATGGAAACACAGAAAAAGTCAGAAAATATATATATATATATAGTGTGTAGAGTTACCATTTTTTACAGTGCTTGTAACACCTGCAGTCGTAAAAAACATCTGTAAAATAAATAATCACTCTTGTTTTTTACTTTGTTGATGATTTAAGGCATTATTATTTTCTTAAACTGCAAAAAGACATTTTTGAGTCATCTCTGCTTCTAGCCCTGGTTTCCATAGAGATGCAGGACTTTATATTGCACTGAAAAATGAGCTCACAGTGAATAAAAGCATGATGGGAACAAAAAAAGAAATGCCCAGGAAAACTGCTTGGGGTTCAGAGTGTTAAGCGACCGTTGAACTTGTGTTGCGTTTAAGTCACAAATATCTGCATGTGCATCAGTGTGCGACCTGCGGCGTCGCTTGGCAGTGCAGCATCTGATAGAGGTATTTTCACAGCATGTACACAGAACTACATGGAATTATAGTGTAAACACAAAAGTGAAAAATCAGTATTTCCACTGCTTTGTTTGACTGGGGAGCTGAGGGAGAGAGAGACATAGACACGCAGAGAGGACATAGAGGAGAGAGACGAGACACATTGATCTAAAGGGGTTTAGTCCTTACATCACTGTGAGAAGCACTCTTCAGCCTCCCCTGGAAAGAGAGCATGTGGTTAATACTTCAAGCAGTGGCCAGTCCCCGCTGTCTGACTTCACTCTCACCGGCTACATGAGAGTGTGCAATCAAACGTGCATCTGTCGCTTTGCAAAATGCAAACAAACTTTGACAACACTGCCAGAGATGTCACTTTTTTTGTCAGTTAGTTATTTTTGCTCTCCAGAGCAGGAATATGTTTTTGTCTCTTGAAAAGACACACAAAAATGACTAACAAGTTGCTGGTGGGCAAAGATTAATAGTAAACATTACGATGGGGAAATGATGCCATAAAAATATGCAGGTGACATATTTGCCTTTACTCCACTGCATTCAAATCCATCCTATTGATCGTTACTGAGACATTTGACAGTAGACTACAACAATACTAGAACACTATGTGGTTTGATATCGGGGCTAGGCCACTAATAATGAGTTTACAATTTAGTTAAAGCAATAACAGTAACAGGAAGCAGAGGGAATAATGTAAAAACAGTCAAAAACCCAAATGCAACTTAACATACCAGCTTTCCTATTAATGAAAAAAAGTATAACCTATTACTTAAAGTTTAAAAAAAAAACAGTTTTGGGAAGTAAACTTATCGTCTTTCTTTCTAAAAGGGAACTTGATTTCACACTCATGTCTGTCCATTAAATATGACGCCTAAGCAAGGACATTATTGGCTTAATTTAGCTTAGAGAGTAACTTTGCTCTTATCACACAGATGCACACTTTAACATTCTGATTTGTGTTTGTTACACAACAAACCCTGGTAGTCTGAATCTGTGTTTTTGAGGCCATCATCGGTACACTGCAGTTTCAAGTTGGAAATGCTCGCTTTTACTCATTATATCTTTTCTAGTATTTAAAAAAAAAAAAACACCATATGTATGTGTTAACATAGTGAAACACAGACTTGGGGGCCTTTAATTACTGAGCTTCATAGGTGTTGGCAGGCAGATATTTTTAAAACTGTTCCCTATTTCCAGTCTTGTATGCCAAGTTAGCTCTAGTCTCATATTTAGCAGACAGACATGAGAGCGTTACCAGTCTTCTAAGGTAATTATCTACAAATATGCATTATATTTCTAAACTGTTTAACTAGTCCGATAAAGAGAGAACTCTGGAAAATGCATTATTCAACACATTAAAGCTCTATGTGATGACTTCCATCCACAGTGCCACTTTGGAGCCCTTTTGCATTTTTTATGATGTTTGACGATAAACCAACATCACAGATCACGCTGATGGAGAAACATACAATCTTGTCCATTAGAAATTAAACACATTATTATGCAATTTCTTTGGCGGGCTGCATATTATAAAGTACGACATAGATTTGCTGGAGAGTCTTAAATGTGCTTTTGCATTCGGAACATTTGTACACCAAGAAGCCATCCCATAGAGCTGTAAGACATCATGAGCATTTTTTACACAGTACACTGACTGCACTTTGTTTGACCCACATCAACCAAAACCAATGTTAAGCTCTCCTGAGAGTCATCGTTACATTAATCATAGTAACAACAGAACATGAAACCAAACCAGGACAGACCGACATGACAGGTCTGCGGAGACATACAGTGCAGTACAGTGTTGTACAGTTTACTGAGAGAAGACTGCAGTGTTGAAATAGATCAGATGCAAGCAACAAACCCACAGTAGGGGGTGGGAGGGCAGGACACAGTTCAAACAGGTAAGGAAAGGTGGGAGAGGTGGGGGACAGTGGAGGGAGAGGGTTAGAAAAGGGAGGAGGCTGGACACCAGATACCAAGCCAACCGAGAGATCAGAGTCACCCCACCAGAGTCCCGGTAAAAGGACACAATGCATGAGAAGAAACAAGGCAACACCAGGTGCAAAAAGAGGAATACCACTTCCTGGTTGAGGAGAGTGTACGGGAAGTAGAAGAAGACAGCAGAGTAAAAGAGGGGAACAGGGAGGGGCACTGATTGGTGAAGACTTGCTGAAAGGGGGGGAGGTGGGACCTATCAGAACGAGTTAGGAATGCACCATGCTTCTGTCTTCTCGAACGGAGAGACAGAGTTAGAGAAGAGATGAGGAGAGCCGAGGAAGAGGATGGGACAGATCGGAGACGGTGAGATGTGGGGGGAAAGAAACAGGGGAAGATCGCAGCCACATATAGCAGAGAGTCGACCACCGTGGACTGACAGACAGACAGACACGCAGGAGTGCTGTACTTACAATCATCTGTGGAGGGAGAGCGGTGGGAGCAGGATGTAATAGTAATCACAACAACAACAACCAGAGAGAAGGGTCAGTCAAGCTGCAAAGAGCCCCACATCAATCAAAAATACAAGTTTGGGCCGCAGGGCTGGAGGGACCAATTGGCACCTGTCTAAAAGCCTGGAGTAGCTACAGGTCGAGAACTAAGCAGCCACCACAGCTAGACTACTTCGCTATATCAAATCTCTTGGTACTACAGCAAATTAACAACTTTAAATGAAGAATTTGTCACTCAGAACTTCTTCCCTTTCTCCGCTCCCCCTGACCTAAACCCAGCTGGCTCCTGAAACCGAACCAGCAGCTGCAATGACACGAAACCCAGAGGTTACTATCAGTGATATGAGGCTCTTTAGTTATTAACCAAACATACATAAGAACACATATATCCAAAACAAAAGAAAAACTAAACAAACAAAAACAACAACAAAAAAAAGAAAAACAAGAGGCTGCTTTCCAAAATGTGTGATTCTTTTTTTTTTGGAAATGGGCCAGATCCTTTGGGCAAATAAAAAAGGTTTCTGCCACTGTGAGTTACTCACAAATCAGAAAACTCCAAATAATTGTTGGCTGACATACTGGAGAGCAGCCATGAGCTGGTGTCAGAATGATATGGTGCAATCCTTTTTTTTCTTATTTTTAAAAGGGTTTTCATCTTGATTGCTTGGATGAATGAAGGCACTGGGGGGCAATGTTGAATATAGTGTGTGTGTGTGTGTGTGGAGGGGGTTGAGAGGATGCCATGTAGATGTGATGCGAAAGCAGTTTGATCTTTTGTTTGTACATGGGCCATCTTGAATCGCAACACACACGAAATGTCTGCCTTTGTATTCCCTTTCCTCATTCTCCACCTCCTTCTCCGTTTTCTTTTGATGCTGCCTTGGCAGTTAGAGGAGTGTGTGGAAAAAAACATACGTGTGGATTATGTGTATTAGGCGCTTTGTGAATCATCTTTTCTGCCTATTGCGGTTGTCGCCATTAGAAAACATGAAATATTCATCACTCTCCATAGAAACACTAAGCTTGTTTGTGTCTGTTCACCCTCTAAAATAATCTATATAGTTTACCGCATATGTTGTGTGCATTTGTGTGCCTCTGTGCATTGACTCCTCTGTGTTGTCTCACCGTTTGGTCCGTGAGCGGCGGCAGAACGATGGTCTTCTCCATGGTGTTCATCACCAGCTTCCACAGCTCCTTCAACACGCGCTTCAGCACCGTCTTCTCGCAGATCTTAGCAAACAAAGTCAGGCTGGCGGGAGACACAAGAAAGAAATGAGACGTGAATATGGCGCGGTAGGGGAGGTGGGCATCTTGAAAGGATGATAGAGAGAAGCTGCGGTTGCTAGAAATCCTCTCATTATCAAAAAGAAATAAAAGACTTTACAGATAAAAAAAGAAGGTCATTTCTACATAAAGAGTCAGAAAAGCCCATGGATGCCTTTTAAACTATTTTTTATATTTCTCTAAGCAGTCTGAGTGATGTCAAACAAGTTTAATTAGAGTAGAAATTAATCTAAAATGAAAGTTGCCATGTGTAGTTTGCTGGTGTAACTGCTCCTCAGCTGAACTTAAAGGTCCCACATAGTGAAAAATCAGTTTTTACTGTATTTTGTGACTGTGGTGTAGCATAAAAGCTGTTAAGATCTGAAGATGTTTATTTCTGCCTGCTTTAACAAGAACACAAGAGTTTTCAGGCACTGCTAGCACCTGAGGAACAGAAGCTCTAGTGCAGGGGTGCCCAATCCTGGTCCTCGAGAGCCCCTGTCCAGCATGTTTTAGATGTTTCCCTCTTCCAACACACCTGATTCCAATGACCAGCTCATCATCAAGCTCTGCAGAAGCCTGATAACGATCCTGCTCATGTGAATCAGGTGTGTTGGAAGAGGGACACATCTAAAACATGCTGGATAGGGGCTCTCGAGGACCAGGATTGGGCACCCCTGCTCTAGTGGATTACTTGTATTGTTGATAGCAATGCCATCACAGGAAAATCCTCAGTGTTAGCGCGTTGTGCAGCGGATGTGGCGAACAGTACCATTACTTTTGACTATATGTCCACAGGCAGGAGCTCTGAGGAAATTGTAAACCTAAGAAAAACCAATAAACGAGGACTGAATGTGTGTTATTGTGTTTTCCTGTCACCTGTTGCGCTTCGGTGCAACCTAACTGGTTTGCTTCTCTCCTGCTCAATGTGCTCACAAATGCTGCATTTTAATACAGCCGATTTCCCAATGAAGCTATTCTTTTTGCATATTTTCTCTTGAAATGAAATCGATACTGAAAGCCATCAAATTAAGGGAGTCATTTCCAAGCACTGGCTCTGCACGACTAAACTACTGATTTGATAACTGCAGCATTGTTTTACAAACTCATCAAACACACAAAACAACATCCGTGCTGTAAATTCTGTGATATTTTCATGTAGAATGATGGCTCAGAGAGAAAGCTAGAAGCAAAAGTCCTGATCTCACGTCTGTAAACTGGTTTGTTCTGCACTGAGAGTCTTCTTCTTGAAGGGTGAGTGGACACCAGCGGCTCAGCTGGATTTAAAGCTACAGACGTTAAATCGGCCTCTTTACAGCAGGAGTTATACAATCATGATGAAGCATCTTTGCAGCATTTTGAGCTAAAAAAGTGGAAGACACACTCAGAAAATGTGAGACTTTAACTTCCTGCACATCCACACATTCCCTTAAACTAACTATTCAACACATCCTCCAGACTTAAACAAGCCATCCATGAGTGTTTAAAAAGGTTGATTAATAAAACAAAGCAGTCCTCATTTAGAATCAATTCAATCAGCTAGATTGTCTCACTTGCTGTCCAGGAACTCCATGATCGGCTGCAGGACATTGTCGGCATCCTGGGCCACACTGCTGGCATTTCCCACATTGGAGGTTCCCTTCACCTGAGCCAAGATGTCTCCCATCTGCTTCACATTCTCCTCAATATGAGGCTGGAAGCTGTAGAGGAAAATACATTTTTAAGTTAAGTCTGTGCTGCAGAGATGTAGCTTGTAGTGTATATTTGTGTATGACTGTGCGTGAGCGTGTTTCTACCTGACAGCGAAGACCCTGCTGAGATCATCCATGACATTGTTGAGCTTAACCTGCAGGTCTTTCAGGATATCGCTCGCCTCCACACAAAGCTGAAAAACAAACAAGAAAACAAAGCTTGGTTCAAGTGACCGGGCAGAAAGGTTATGCAGCAATATAAACAAAACTTTATATATATTTGGAGCTGAATCGCTCACGTCTTTTCCACCCATAGCTTCAAACATCTTCTCCAGCTGAACCCTCAGCTGCTGGATGTTGTTGATCAGGATGCAGGGCTGGAGGAAGATAACACATCAGAAACGGTCACGAAAACATTTTTAAGCCAGAGATACATCTAATAGAATAATAAATATAATAATAGACATGATATTGTGTCATTGCTTGAGTCCAGCTGACTCTACATAGATCATGTCTTTGGCCACTAACCACTTTCTCCATGGTGACGTAGTTTGCAAACAGCTTGGAGATGATATCAGCATAAGACAGAAGGACGTTGCTGATGGTCTGGAGAGGAAAACAAAAAAAGAGAAATCATCATGGAATAGCTGTAGTTCAATGATTGAATTTAAAAATGGTATGTAATAAAATATACAATTAAAGATCTGTTTGTAGTATTTTGTGAGTGATGATTATGGTGTTACCTTGGCGAATCGCTTCATGTAGTGTCCTACAATCTGCGGATCCGGACACTCCAACTTCCTGATGATCTCGAAGCTCTGGTTGAGCTGGGAGAAGACGTCCACCACCGAACAGGAGAACAGCGCGTGTTCTGAAGTGACTTGGAACTGCGGGGCGGAAAGGACGAAGATTAAAAAACTGAGGTGGGGACAAAAAAAATAAAAATCAAAAGGGACAAAAAGCATGAGAAAGAACGGGACTTTAAGAGTCTGGGGAGCAGGTGAGATGCTGAGATTCGGAGGAGACTGGCAGGATGTGACCTCTGCACAGCCAAGACCATACAGGCGGATCATTAGATGCTATATTAAACCGGACCTTTGATATGTTTCGCTACATGTCTGGAGTTTCAGACCTCCCTGAGAAAACCTTGCCTTACAGACAGTTAGACAGCCATCCAGTGACAGGTGGGAGCTCCTGTCTGTCTCCTTGTAATTGGCTGTTGGTTAGCGCCTGCTCCCTAATTGGCTAGAGGTGATTGTGTAGGTGCTACTCCAGGGAGTCTGGGTAATGAGGTGAGGACAGCTTTCCTGCAGTCAAAACTGAAGAAGAAGGCCATTAATTCACAATGTCCTGCTGTAACAGACTTATCTCCCTCTCTAAGCTCATGCACGTCTCCGCCACTCTTTTTTAAAATTTTTTTAAAACTTCCAAAGAATCCCTGTCTGCACCGTCGTGTCCGTGCTGCTATTTTTTGCCTTTGAAGAACGCAGGGGAAGGGGGGAGAGGCAGAGCGGGAGGGAGGATGACACTTTTGGATGATAACTTTGTGTGTGACAGAGGAAGCACAAAGGATGGATTACAGTAATTCTGCCTGAGCAACAACAGCGACTCAGCGTTTCCACAGGACTGAAGGGGAGATAAGGAGCAGAGCTGGAAACTTTTACCCCATCTTTTTTGTCTCTCTCCAAAGCGCCGTGCAGAAAGTCGCGAGACACTTCCTCGTTTTCGTCCAGCCACTGGATGACAAACGGCTCGAACCACCTACGGGGAGCAAACATTTGGAAATTTTGTGATCTTTGTGTACGTTTTGATTTCTCCTCGTGTGTTTATGTGCAAAACAAGACGCTACTCACGCAGGATATTCGGGCACTCTGCTCTTGAAGAAAGGCAGGTCCTTGCAGTATTCGTTGTACAGCCACTTGACCTTGAAGTGCAGGTTCATGTAATCTGCACTCTTGCACAGGCGATTTTTTTCATGCTCTAAAAACAGGATCAAAATAAATCCATGTTAAGCTCGTGTTTAAGCTACGGCTATCCGGAATTACAGCAGACCTACTGTGCATACAGAGGCAGTGACCCGGAGTCTAACAAGCATCCTAATGGACTTGTTGAATGTGATTGTGAGGCTTTAAGTACACAGTCACATTTTGTATAGCTGTCATTAATGCAGAATTCTGCCATCGTACATCAGTTCTGTGCTAGACTAACGCTTCAGGTTATACCAAACTCAGTCTAATGACTGGCTTTAAATGTAAGACCCTCAAGTGTGTCCTGAATTTTTTCTACTCTTAGTTTTTATACTCTGAGCAACCTGAAAGCTTTACAAAACACCTTAAGAATATATTCTTTGGGAACCTTTGGACAATTTACATTTATGATCACAAGTCCTTTGGCGTCTGTTTGTAAATGTTTTATTAGATTTATCTCTCCTATTTGGCTCTTTTATCCTTCATTACCCCTCTGAACCGCAAAACCCTGCAGGCAGGTTTGAAAGGCATGTTAACCTAAAAAAAACTGTAAAAAATTAACAGAACCAGAAAGTGCAAAAACAAAAAGAATGATCAGATTCTCAACTTTGCAACACCCTGTTAACCACTCATCTGAGACGTGCCAAGTCCAAGCTTGGAGATTATGATATTTCATTTAAATCATTTTATTCTCCACATCTCCTTTTAAAAGTAACTAAAAATAAGCTGTTTGCTAAAATTAGATTTTGCAAATGTCAAAAAAAGGTTGTTCTCTTTGGCGCAACCACAAATGACTCAGCTATGAGCAAGAGTCACATGACTCCAGACTGGGGTAAATTAACAAACTGTGGGTACGCAGAGCAGGTAGAAGAAAATTATGGACGAAAATTACAAGCTGACTACATCTTTTTTTTATATAAATGTTGTAAAATAAATAATCAAACAAATAGAATTCTAGCCATGGTTGTTCTGTTTCCATCGAGGCACAGGACTTGGTACTACAGTGCAAAATGAGCCAATATTGAGTAAAAATGTGACAGAAGCAAAAAAAAAAAAAAAAGCCCTGCTATTGTTTGGGGATCAGAGGATTAATGGTATTTGTATGCAGTTTTATTAGATTGTTGTTCTTTTTTAGTGGCCAAATATATTTTGTAATTTTCATTTTAAGTCATTTTAAACTGTTACAAAACATTATTGCAGATGAGGATTAGCTCTAAAAAGAGTGTCAATTAAATTAATTAAACTAAATAAAAAAAAGTGGACCAATTTGACTAAAATCTAATATTACTGACACCATAAAAAAACTGTATGTTGCTTCAGGTTTTGCAAAAAAAAAAAATAAATACAAAATTCTCCTGCCATATTTTCTTTATCAAAACCAAACTATATGGTACATGCATGACCATGTGGCTCATTTAGGATAAATTTTATAACCATTTTTCGACTAAATTAGACTAAAAACTGCTGTTTAGTCTACTGCAAGTAATGCAGTTGACGTAAGTACACAATAAAGTCAGTTAACATTAACATAAAATCTACCAAAACTCTCATTTTCTGTGTATGATCACATATTTCAGCAGGTCAGTATTAACCTGTGGATACATTAACTGAGTGGAAGCGTTAAAAAAAACACCATCTCTTACCTGCAGCGGTTAAGTTTCTGCAAAGTATTTGCAAGTAAACTCTTAGAAGTTAAACTAAAAAACATTCAATTCAACCCTCTGAACATAAACTGTCTTCTGTGTCTTTGGTCATTAGTGCAAACAGCGCTCAAACCACAAAACCACTGTCAGCAGCTTTCTAGCAGCTCCTCAGTGAGCGTGACAAGCTCTGTCATCTCAGAAGATTCACGACCGATTTGCACTCACCCTCCATTGCGTACTTCATATCCTGAGCAAATAGGTTCCACATCACTTCAGCACTGATTTTACCCACGTTGAGCTCCTGGGGAAATCTTGATGGAGAGAAAGGACATATATGAAACCGAGCAAGCAGATGGGAGCCTCAGATTCCAGTTGAAGAGGTGATAAGAGAAAATTGCATCATTAAAGGGAACTGCAATTAAATTTGGATGGTTCTAGGATGAAACACTCAAATCATATTGACTGGTTTGGAACAACAACCATAAGTTTCCATCAGAAATAATAACATTCAGAGCTTTATTTCTTATATATAGTATTTGTACAACAACATCAACGACAACAGGTTATATTTCAGAGAAGCAGACATGCAGAAATACAATTCATTACGGTCATTTTTTTATTTAGAGGGGGTAAAAGAGAGGGAAGAGGGGGTGAAAGGGGGAGGGCATGGAGAGAAGGGAGAGAGGGTTGGGGGAGATCGAGGATGGAGAGAGGTTATGCAGGGGAGAGAAGGTTGTGGAGAAAAGGGTGAATGAGGGTTAGACAGATGGAGGGATGGCAGTAAAGGAAGGTAATGGAGGGGGAGGTGGAGAGGTGAGGATGGGTGAGTTAAGGTGGAGAAAGAGTGAGGCAGAGGCTGTTGTCGTCTCCTGTGCCTTTGCTGTCGCATTGTTTTTTAGTGCAACCAGCTCCAGAAACCATTTTTCTCCACCTTTTCTTTCTCTCTCTTCGCCTGTTTCTTCTCCAGCTTCTTCTTCGCCTTTTCTTTCTTTCCTGTCTTGATCCATCTGAAAAAACTGAAGACGCTTCTGCCCTTTTTGTTCTTCTCATGAAGCTCTTGTTCCTCCCCCTCCAGCGTTTTCCTCCTGCAGATTGTTGTCTTCCTGCTCCACATCTTCACTCTTGTTCTCTGCTTTCTCCCTCTGTTCTTGTTCTTGTTCCGGCACCCCCTCATTCTGCATTTCATTGTTCTTCACATCTTTCTGCAGCTCCTTTTCCTTCTCTTGCAGTTCCTCCTTCTCCCCTTTATTTTTCAGGATCTCCTCCTCCCTCATGCTGGGCTGCTCTTTCAGCCGATTCAGCTCCTCTTGCATCGAATTGTTGGATTTGACGAATCTTTGCCTCCTGGCTTGCAGCAGCTCTTTGAGATTTCTCACCAAAATCTCCCTGTTCTCCACCAGCGCATCCTTGATGCAGACAAGACTGCAGCTCAGTTGTAATTTCTCGCTGACCTTCTTGTCATCCTCTCGAAGCTCACTGGTGTGTTCAGATTTTTATTGAGCTCCTTCAGCTGCTCGTTTTCAGCCTTCCAACCTTCCGAGGCTTTTTGAGCTCCGCGAGTTGGTTGCGGGAACCAACATGGCGAAAAACTGCTGACACGTCCCTGTCCGCACCTTGGAAACATTTTTTGTGCCATTGTAGACGAACAAAAAAAACTCTACACAACCCAAAACTATTGGAGCTGTTGCATCTCTGGAAGGTGACAGTTTGTGCAGCGTTGTTTGTAGTTTTGGTTGTAGACTGGGCTCCTGCGACGTAGAACTCATCTGCATGGACTTCTTGTCAATAGAACCAGATCGAAGTAACACCAAGGATGTACTTGTCGTAACCGATCACTTCACAAAGTACGCTGTAGCAGTGCCAACCCCAAATCAAAGAGCCAAGACAGTGGCAAAAGCCCTATGGGACAACTACCTGATCCACTATGGAAGTGACTCCACAGTGATCAAGGGCCCGATTTTGAATCTCACATCATTAAAAAGCTCTGTCAGATGGCAGGAATCCAGTAGAAACCAGGTGCTGCTCACTATTTGTCATCAGAACAGGAAAAACTGCTGAAAGCGGAGCAATGTGTGGAAATGTCACTGCTGATGTGAATTTATAAGATAAAGACTGTGACCGGTCGCATTTGCAACCATTTTACCAGAGTGTGTGTGTGTGTGTTAAAATTGGTTGCATTTGTGTGACTGTATGATGATCATCAGGCTGATATGGAGACGCTGTCACAGGTAGATACTGTTGTAACCGGCGGGTTAGGTCCGCCCGTCACTCGGGGTCGCTGTGCTGCCATTATGGCATTTCAGCCCTTTCCAGGTGCCGCACCGGCAGCGAGTTGCGTAATCAAACACAAAGGCCGACACAGTGTATAAGCATGGGCCGCACAACAGAAGATCACGCTTGTCTCCTGCTGCCGTGTTGCCTGGGGTCGCCTGCCTACACAAGTCGAACGCCGTTTGTCGCCGCGTTGTTTGATAGAGTGAAATACAGCCAAGGTAACTCTCAAACATTTTGTAAATCTTTAAATGTGGTTTGTTCAGAACTAACGTCTTTCTGTCTTTGCAGCTGTGACGGCCGCTGCTGCTTCGTTGTTTCTGTTAAACTCACCTAGCTTTTATTTGATTTTATTTGTATTTTTAAGTGGTCTTATAGTGCCAGGTTTATATAGTGATTTTTTGCTGAGGTGTGTTTTTTAAAAATTGTTATTATTACTTTTAAATCGGTTTTTATGGTTTTACACAGAGGTGTCAATTAATATTTTATCGGCGGCAGTGTGGTTTTATTTATTTATTTATTAATTCGTGTATTTCTCTTGTTTTAACTGGTTGGTTTGATTTGACATTTTTTTGCATGATTAGTCTGTTTTTACGCTGCCTTTTTAAATATCCATTGCATCTCTGTGTATACGATTCTGAATATTGTCTCTACCTCATAGTTAATCACGAAGCCTGGTTGCATTCTTTACCTTGACCGTTTTATAGAATAAAGTAAGAGCAACAAATTCTCCTTTTTTGCTCTTTCAAATTATTTTGAAATCACGTCTCTGTTTCCTTTTTTTACTGTGATACTTATCTGTGTGGGTTCAATCCAGTAACCTGTTCTCTGGGTAAGATTTCCCAGAGTGGCGTTGTCGAGTGTTTTAGTCATTAGTTTTAGCCAAGACATCATCTGGTTACACTGTGTTAGATGTTGTGGCTGAAAGTAGTACTTTTCCTTTTCCTCAGTCAGTCACTGCCTGCCTGACGTCTGAAACAATCAATTATGCTGTTACCGTGTTCCAAAGATGAAGCGATCTGTTATGGATTAGTTAAAAAAAAAAACCTAAATGTGGAGAGAGAGAGGTCGGACTCAGACACACCTGCAGGCAGAGAGATCTGGACTGAGTCAGTTAAAAAGAAAAGGTAGCTCATTACAATCACAAATTTAGCTTCCTTCAATTAGATGAAGATGATCGACTGCGGTATTGACATTTAAAACGTGCTCCGTGCATGAAAGTCAGCCCAAGTAGATAAAATCACTTCAAATCGGTCAAATCTGACAGTCGAATGCCTTATTTAATTGTTTTCCAGCTAACTGTTGGTCTCACAGCTGTCTGAGTGAACTGGTGTCAGCCTGCATGTGAGGCGTCGAGGGAACATCAGTAAACAGGAGCATCTATCAACAAGCAGAGGTTCAGCAAGTGACCAGTTTATGAGACTAATACCAGAAAAAGAGTGTTAAAAAAAGAAAAAAAAAGTTTCAAATAAATAACAATCAGTGCAAGACTAAGTTCTGCAAAGATGACTGTTCATCAGAATGCAATGTGGATTAATACTTATAGCTGTGCTGTACCAAAATAAGCCCTGAGTAGGCAAATAGAAACCATAGAGACATACTGGTTTAGGCAGGGAGTGTAAGAGTTCTTGTCCTCCTCGATAATGGAGACGATAAGCGTGATGAGTTTGGACCAGAAGTCCAGATTCTTGATGCTGGGTCCCTGCTCCTCCGGAGGCACAGCGCCCTGCTTGGCCTGGAACAGAAACAAGAAATGTTGACGCTGACTTTTTAGAGACAGTTTTAGCTGCTGGTTACTTTATTTGTAAGATACACAGAGAAGATCGGAACTTTTGGCAAAATCTGCCAAGATGTAAAGCAGGGGTGTCCAATCCTGGTCCTCGAGAGCCCCTATCCAGCATGTTTTAGATGTTTCCCTCTTCCAACACACCTGATTCACATGATCAGGATCGTTATCAGACTTCTGCAGAGCTTGATAATGAGCTGATCATTTGAATCAGGTGTGTTGGAAGAGGGAAACATCTAAAACATGCTGGATAGGGGCCCTCGAGGACCAGGATTGGACACCCTTGATCTAAAACATGCTGGATAGGGGCTCTTGAGGACCAGGATTGGGCACCCCTGATGTAAAGTTTGCAGATGTAGTTAAGTTTTAAAAGCCAAACTCCAGTCATATTCTGGATACGATAACCAGCGATCCAGTCCTGTATGCCGTGTGGCCACTTCCTAATACTAATGTGAGTTTTCCTAATGGTATGTTTTATTGTCTGAAACATTCGAGAACATTTTTGGAAGGGAAATTGTGTTGTTAATCCAACAACTCATACATATTCAACATTTGCTGCTCAAACAGCTTTAAACAGACTCCGGATGTCAACTGTCTGGTCGACTTCTTTGAAATAGATGAGGATGTGCTGGAAGAAGACGAAAAAAATAAAAAAAAAACTAAGCTGGGCGCCGCAGGGGGTGAAGAGAGAAGAATGATCTTGCAGAGATTTCAACAAAATATAGCAACGTCCCTCAGGATGAAATGTTTTATTCAAAGGGGGGGGAAAAAAAATACGTGTTTGAAATTCACGGGGGAGCCTGAATGGGGCTGCCGCTTTAATGAGGGCTCAGAGCAAGTTCTAGAAATCCTTGTTGAAATCCGGTGCAGGAGTGATGGATGGAAGAGCCTGGCCTCCCCAGACTGAGAGGATGACGGGGACTCACCACACCCAGACACGCTGATAATAATAACGGTGCATCGCACGCAGCAAACAAGGGCAAAGCAGTAATCAAGCAAAAGATGGTGCGCTACTAACAAGGACAAATCCTGTTTGTACGAGGAATATTTTTAGCCAATCTGATTAGTCAAGGACGCTTCTCTTTGTAATGATAAGTTAGGAGGAAAACTGCCGGCCGAGTTTTCAGTGATTACTGAGTCAACTCTTTCGCTGAGTTTTCGGGTTGGGCGGTGATTTATCCTGCATTCTGCTGCAGAGAGATGGAGCCACGCTCGAGACAAAGAATGAGGAAAATTCATCAATCACTGGACAGCTACAGAAAAAGTTTCAGAGTCAGTGCTTTGGCCGCTGAACAAAAAATACAGAGAAGTTCTTTAGATTGTCGGGGAGAAAAACGTTGACTGAATCCAGATTGAGCAACGACAACCTGATTTGTCAACATACAAACCAGAAAAAATGGACTCCAGCAACAACAGAAAGGAAACAGACAAAAGAAACACACCTGGCTACATTGCTTGGAGAGTATATAGACACAAGAACCAAGTTCCTTACACACTTTTAGTTGAAAGAAAATGAAAATTTTGGGGGGGAAACAGATATTGCCATAAAAAGCAGCAAAAAAAAACATCATAACGTCACATTCTGAGGAAAAAGCAGCAGAACAGCAAGGAACTATTGTTGGAGCCTTTAAAATCTGCCTCTTAATGTAGGACTTTCACTTTTATAATTTGCTCACAATGACTAGACTCCATAGATTGTTAAAGTATGCTATGTAGTGAAATGCTAATTATTATAGTGACACTGCAAACTTTGCACAACGGGCTTTAGTACTTATAGTTCTGCCGGTATTTAATTAAAATAATGGCCAAAATCCAAACTCAAATTTGACATTTTTGAGAAAGACAAAGACGCATTCACTCACACCTACACAGACATTCGGTCCATCAGCGCTGCTTCTTACCGGGTCTGTCTGGTACTCGCGGCTGTAGAGCTCGTGACAGTTGTTGAAGATGTACTCGTAGGTGGAGTTGAGACAGGCTTTGACGCAATCCTTCACCACCTGACTGGCTCTGGGTGGCGACTGGAGCTCTTGGACCTGAACAGAAAAACAAAGAGAGACAGTGAAACCAGACAAGTGACTGGCTCGTTAATTAGGGCGCTGCGGAACTGTACTCATGGTGATCTTGGTGACAGAGAGCACTGATTCATTGGAAAGGAGCTGCTTGCATTTTAAAATTCAGCTTTTCAGGAAGTTTTTAATAATCCCTGAGGAAAATATTGATGTTGAAGTCTGTTGCATCCTCATATGTGGAACACAGTGAGCAAAGAGTGGGTCTGATGGGTTTGCGGAGGTCATGACTTATCTTAAACACATGCTGAAAGAAGGAGGAACTGTACCTTCATTCTGAAAAAGGTGATACTGGTGAGCAGGTCCACCGTGGACTTGAGGTCCTGCAGCCTCTCAGGACTGCTGGCTGGGAAATTGTTCTGCAAAAATAACAAATACAGTGAGCCACAACCCTTGAAATCACATCTGTCCTTGTCCAGTGTTGTTTTTTTTTCTTTTGTTTTTTTGTGTGTCCGCGGGCAAGATCCAGCACGGCCACACAATTTTCACTGCCACAAATCCCAAGTCTTGCTGTGTGGGTGTGCAGTGTTTCCTGAATGTGTCTGTGCATGTTTCAGAGGAGCTGTCAGTCTGATTAACACGTCCGCCTCCTTTGTTTTACTGTTTCTCACAAAGAGAGACATATAAGGAGGAAGAGAATCGTCGCGTATAATGCAGAAGATATTACAGGAGATATTATGAGCATAAACAGTGAGATGAAGAGCAGTCTTACTCGGTACATGGAGAGGTCGATCCTCAGGGAGTTGTGCAGCTGATCTAGGAGTTTGACAAATCGCTCTTTCTGTGGGTATTACAGCATGCATGGTGGTATTAAACACACAGCAGACGCACTCCGGTTGCTCGGCACCAAAACAAAGAGAGTGTTAAGTAAACACTTTTTGTGGAAATCTGCTGAGTTTATTGATTCTGCTAAACGAGTCTGTTTTCTGACTCACCCCAAAGTTAGAAGCAGCAAAGCGGTCAGAGGCAGAGACGTTGTTGGTTGCCTGGGTGGTGTGTGCGTAGTAGGCATTGATGTTCGCCAGCAGGGTGCTCATCACTGCAGGAACTCCCGGGCACATGTACTTCGACGACAAGCAGGCAAAGTGGCTGCGAATGAGAGACGGACATGTGAGCAAAGACTGGATGTTAACGGCTTAGGCCGCTTAATGCATGGAAACAGCCAACACTCAAACAAACCAGAGGGCTGCACTACGAAGCGAGGTAAGTGGGTTCGCGAGGTATGTTGAGCTTGAGTCAGTTTTCAGTGTCACAAAGGTGGTTCTGTTTTTACCTGGCTAGATCACCATGGTAACGGATGCTGTGGAGCTAACCTGGTCCGGAGCAGGTTCTGTTCAGAATTTTGGATTTAAATTGGGCGTAAGAAGTGTCTCCCTTTAACCTTATGATTTGCTGATGATTCTTTATGAGTGATTCAGATCCTCAGCTGAGGGAATGTGTTTTATTTGCAAACTTGTTGGGTTGTGCATTATTAATCCTACTTAGTGAAGCCGTGCAGTTACAGTATAACACACAGGATGCATCTGTTGCCATGGAACCCGACATACATTCAGGTGATGCTGAAATTATATAAATATGTTTTTATGTTTGGTTCTGATTTGCTGCCAAGTAGGGCTGGTCCGAATAGCAAGACCAGACCAGTTTCTGTGTTTAGGTTAGCGGTGACGGCTCCGTTTCCACGGCGGCGGGGATATTTGGAGATCCAGTTTGATATCCCGATTCCAGCACAATGAACGAATAGTTGGCTATTCGGCTATTCGGGCCGAGCCCTACTGCCAAGTTGATTTATACATCTGGTACTGTAGCTAAAAGAAAACTGATTTGTTTGTTTATTAATTTCACTTTGATTAGACCATAAACTAAAGCGATATCCTGCATTATGGGACAGTGTCAGACCTAAATGCACTTCAGTACAATATCATGTTTATGTATGTTAAGTTTAAAGTTTAACAGCTCAGATGTGCAACTGTTGTGTTACAAATAAGCAGCTGCATTGATCGGTATGATCATATATTTACGCATTTTTAACAGTTTTCTCCCAGCAGCGCTTTTTACCATCATAAATACTTATATTCCTTGTAACTCTACATTAAAACAGTTACATGATGCATTTAATGCCACGTTTTATGGGAATGTGCACAGAGTCTGAAGCCTGAGTTAACAAAGAAAGTCGAGAACCACTTTTATGATACCTGTGATCTCTGACTGGGGCTTCAGCTTTTGTCGAGTTGACTCACACAAAGAAACCCTGACTGTGTCAAACTTGCTTCGTAGTTCAGCCCTACGGTCTTTGTTAAAATTCTGAGGTCAGGGTTTCAGACAGGAACATACGTCATGGCCTGGTAGATGGACTCCACTCCGTAACGCATCGCAAACTCGTCCACAATCTCCTGGGGGGTTTCCTCAAAGTACACCTTCCATGCATCATCCCCTTTGGCATCAGGGATCTTCACCACACCGTTATTCTGGATATCTGTCACGTAATGGAAGAGGTTCTACAGAAGGGAAAACACATGAGAGTGAGAGAGGAGGAAACTAATCCAGAATGTAGGTTTAAATAATGAAAAAAAAAAGCCAACAAGTTCAGGTGATTGCTCACATCGCGCTCAGCTGTAATTAAAGTTTGTATACATTTAATTGGACAAGATGCCAACCTCTCAAGCTGTTGTGTGTCTGCTGGCTGTGCTGCACAAAGAGCCATAAAACTATATTATGAGGCCAACACAAGGTGCAGTCTCGGCCATAAAGCATTACACCACTGTAAAACATCCTGAATGCGTTTATGGGCACTTATGGGCTGCAATAACAGAAGTCATTTGTCAGTTAAGGTTCAGCTAATATGCTCTGCTGAGTAATGGGCCGAGTAATGACTCCATACAAAGTTGTGATTGGCCTACGATCAATCAGCACAGGTTTTTCTCTTTCTTTTTTTTGCACAGAGCCGAGCAGAAATGTGTCGGATGTCTTTGCTACTGGAAGTGGTCTTTATCTTTGTACAGCAAAGCAAACTTCACGGGGTATTAACTTAAGTTTAACTTGGACTGGATCGATTATGGAAGTAAACATCAGTCAAGTAAATTAACCAGTTTATCACGGCTCATTAGGACGGCTTGGCACTGAGGTACACAAACTTATAGAAGCTGGAAAAGACTATTGTAGTGCTATAAACCTAAAGTAAAAGTACCACTTCGTGACCAAAGATAGGGAGAGATCATTTGTTGTTATAGTCGTTGCAGTGTGCAGCGTAACTGTCCGCATTCAGGGTTGAACATATGGACTCAGAGGCATGAGCTGCATCGTGTTTTGCATTTTGTTGTACGTATTTTTGTGCATATTGTTGCACAGATCTGCAATAAGAAAAGACTGTTGCACACTGACTGCATGCTTGTAAATAACTACTGAACAATGTCAATTGTTTTAGGCCAAGAAATAAATACATAATTGCACATTTAACCCTCTAAACCCCAAAACCCATATGCAGATTTGAAAGACATACTATGTTTATGAAATTGCTACAATTACACCATTTATTAGAAAAACTAGATGCTTCACTTTACTTTAATCTACATGTCTCATTAAAAAAATTCTAAAAAATAAACCTTCTGCATTAACCAGATTCTGTACAAAACAAGCAATTCTGTGCTCCTTGATGCAACCGAGAAGCCACATTTAACCCCATGAACCACGAAAAGCTCCCAACAGGTTATAAAATTGGCAAAATACACCATTTATCAGATTCAGAATTATTCAATGATAAATCCAATAATTATTAGAATTTTCAAATTTTCAAGTTTCTGATGGTCCTCGAAGTACTCCTCTGTGACATCCAGTAGCGGCTCTACATGTCTGGTAAAAAAAAATTGCAAAAAAATAAACCGTCTGCAGTAACTAGATTCTGTAGAAAAGAAAAAATGCTCTTTGCTGCAAATGTAAAGCCATTAGTGACTAAGCTGCAACCAAAAATGACTCTAAAAGAAATTCAACTTATTCTTTATCTTTTTTAAAATACTGGCTAAAGGGTGTAATTTACATGTTTTTTTACGTACAACTCCTCTTATTCTGCAAGCCGTACAGGTAAATGCAGCAGAGAAGAATTAAAACGTACAACTGGAGTAAAAGTCTAGTTCAAGACAACCAATGTTCACAACAGCAGTACTTCAAAAACTGTACTCAGGTACAGAACTGGAGAAAGATTCTGCTTCTTTTAAGATGCACAGAAAAACTGAGCTTACTTCATGCAGACAGGTGTACTGAACGTGATACGGGGCGACCGTCTCCTCTCCTTTGATCTCCACATTAATGTGCATGCGGATAGCCCCGGACACCGCCGATTTGTCCGTACGCTTGTCTGTGAAGAGCAGAGAAACACACACAGTCACGGAGCTTTGCCGCCGGAAGAATTTTAATCAGAAGTTTAAGTCAGTCACACAACTGCACGATGAGATAAACCGAGCAGGGCGGCGAGGAGCCCTGGGATCACTACTGTAAAAGTGGTGAGGGGGCGCTTTAAAATTCCAACTGACCCAGATTGTACCAGACGTCCATCTCTCCGCTCAGGGTGCGCACCTCGATGATCGTCTGACCGAGGAAGTCGTCCGACTCTCGCTTGAACTTCTGCTTCACGCGAGACTTGATGTCGTCGTCCTCGTCCCAAACTCGCACCTTGATGCGGTCCGAGGAGTTGTGACATTCGCTGCAAAGACAGAAGCAGAGAGTGAGACAGAGGTACCGAAAATAGTAGTTACAGTTGGACGAGAGGAGCAGATGGATTACTATTATGACTCATTAGGTATCAAGTGCTTGAAGAGTAAACAGAACTCACCAGATATTCATTTTTTTGAACTCCAAGCATATGTGAGAACTACTGCAGAAATGTTTCGATGATTTCAAGAACATTAATTAAAAACATGCATAATTGAATATTAGTTTAAATCAGTTATCTTGCAGCCTTTTGAACTGCTGTAATCTAAATATCTCAGACATCATTAAATCATTATAACATGTATTTTATGACACGTTTCCCCCAATAGGCTCCAGCCCCCCCGCTACCCTAGTGAAGATTAAGCGGTGTATAGATAATGGATGGATGGATGGATGGATGGATGGATGTTTCCCCCAAAAGACATGACTCACAAATTAAAAGTCTCCTCCCAGACCGGGTTGAGGTTGCCATAGATGGTCTTGGTCCTCTTTTTCGTCTTCCCCACCTGGACGGTGACGTAAGGATCGCTGGAGCCGGTTTTATCCTTGGCTTGTAGACCCTGGGCACACAACACTAGGAAGAAGAAGAAAAAAAGAAAAGCCAAGCCGGTCAGCTAGTGTGTGTGTGTGTGTGTTTGGATGCAAGCAGATGCCTCTTAATCATCTGACCTTCTGCTCTACTGCCCCATAAACGCCACCTGTGTTCCCTCCACACACACACACACGGCAGCTTGTCTCTTTTTATAGACACAAACACCTGACACCTGCCGTCTCCTCTGACTTTGACGCTGACCATTGCCGGCCAGCTCGCTTCAGAGCTACTGTACCGAGCCGAACGCGACGCCGCTCTCACCCGTGATGCTGATCTTGGCCGACCACTTAGAGGTGCCGTCGAGCACGCTCTGCTTGATCTGCTTCATGTGGGTGACGTGGGTGGACTTGGGGACGGTGAAGACTTCCTGGATGAGCTCGAAGATCTCGGGTTTGTTCCTCTCGCGGATCTTCATGCGGTCCTTGAGGACCATGATGATGTTCTGGGTTCGGTCCTCGGCGCCATGTTTGGAGCTCTTCTCTGCTGCTCCTGGTTTGCAAGAAAACCAAGATAGGAAAGGTTTAGACATCAAAATAGGATATGTGTTTGATAGAAGTGGGTTTAGAGAGCAAAGTCATGACTGGTAACAATATCAAAAACTTGCATGGAGGATAGATTTTTACAATTTATAGGATAATCTGAAACTAAGACATCAATTTAAAATATATAGAGAAAGACTGCGTAGGAAACTCTTGGACGTACTTCATGAATTAGAGGCAGAGCTATAAAAGGCTGACTAAAAGAGAAATGGAAACCAGAGAGGGGGATGACAACAACAAAAGACAAATGGCTTTTAATATCCTCTCAAGAAAACCAGGAAAATAAGAAAGTGGGAGTGAGAGGAGAAGGAGGAGGACGACGACTCAGTGCCTGGCAGTGACAAATAGACATAAGAGGAAATAAATGGACTCGCTAGTTTTCTCTTATTAATATAAAAAATAGAACTGACACAGGGAGAAGTCTAAAACGTGAAGTCAGCAAAAGGATGTTTTATGCTTTTTTTTTTTTTTTGTCCCTGAACATCAGCTCAATGCGGTATAGAAGTTTTAGCTCTGGCTATATCTGAGAACTGCATGGGTCATGTAAGGCTGGTGTTAAGCCAAGAAATAAACACATATTTACACATTTAACCCACTGAGTCCCTGAGTTGGAAAGTGATGCGGTGTTTATGAAATCACTAAAATAACACCGTTTTTCAGAGCCAGAAACTCTAAAAACAGAATGAATTGTTGGATGTTTAACATGGAAAACTAAATCTGAACTTAAAATTCAGTGGCTGTGCTGTTTATATAAATGTTCAGGACAGTGAAAAATGAGGTGTCAGTGAGTCAAAGTGTGACAAAAACAGCCAGAATTCTCTTGGGGTTAAAAAGGTGGGGAAGAACGTTTGTGGAAATACATTTATTTGCTTTATTTCTTAATGAGAAGATTGATTTCACTCTCATGCCTGTCTGGTTAATAAGAAATAGGGAAACAGGAGGCTGGATTCTAAAATAAACTTACCAGCACCTCTAAAGGTCTATAATCACACCATAGTTAATATTTGTTAAATATGTAAACAAAAAAAAATGTAAAAAAGGTTTGTATAGAGTAATGCAAACCTCTGTTTCCTGTCTTTGTGCTAAGCTAAGCTAACAGCTGCCAGCTCTGGCTCCGTATTTATCATGACGATGAGAGTCATTTTGATATTTCATTCAACTCTTAGCAATAACACAAATATACTAATAGTAAAATAAATAAAAACATTCCCAAAATGTCAAAAAGTTTGACTTAAAGAACACATAAATAGCTTTAAATGGAACTTAAAGAACTTGAGCAAGATAAAGTTTGTGGCTCTAGTTCCCCCTGGACTTCATAGGTCTAATTAACAGATCTGAATATGTTTATAATGATGTTTACAGCTTCCAGTACATGGCCTCATTTCATCTCGTTGTCACACAGACGAGTAAGATAAACCTTGTTCATTGGTTGCTAAGTTTACATGACATCCTCCTATTCTTAATTCAGTGCATTTGGGGCTTAAATGCAGTAACATTTCCCTCCACATCCTTCTTACTTTGCAGACAATCAGCATTGAGTAGATCTTGGCACTTCTCGTGGCATTTGACTCCGCACTCGGTGCAGCGCATCCCCTGGCGAGCGATTCCCCACAGCAGCCCCTCGCACTCGTAGCAGTAGGTGGGCGTGGTGGCCGTCCACACCTCGAAGTTGTGGGGCGTGGTGCAGGAGATGGGATAGATGAGGGCCTGGAGGGTCTTCTTATAGACGTGACTCTTCTACGAAGGCACGGGAGAGAGATTGGTGCAAAATGAGCAGAGCGTGTGCAAGAATGATTTTCATGTGTTATATGTGAAATAGCGTAAACGCGGACTGACCAGTTCTTCGTTGTGCAGCGTGCTGGACGTCAGCGCTGAGGTGATGCCTGCCTTCCTGGAGTTCTGAACCAAGGACTGAGTGACAGCAGAGGAGGGATCAGTTTCTCTCAGCTCCCACATTTAATATCTTTTTATATCAAGATCAATCTCAGCGCTGCCTGTGAGGGAGCATGTATCATTACCATCTGTCTGCCACTGTTTTTCTGAATAGGTATGACAAGTTAGAGGTGACAGCTGCAGAATTTAAATGACTCCTTTTTGTTATGAGTGACCACCTTGATGAAAATTACTGCACACTCTCTACCTACTGTAAGACAGTAAAACAGTGTTACTCACCATTGCCTGTGGCAGAGAAGTGACGATGGGGGGAAAACGGGAGAGATTTCATATTAGAAAAAGGCAGCACAACCATAGTTAAAAGTAGAGAGGACTCACAAATGTCTTAAAGTTACTTATATTTTAATTTGTTTCTATACTGCTCTGTGTAAACTCTATTTTATTGTATTTTTTTTAAAAAATGTGACTGTTGGTTTCAGCTCAGTTACTAATGGCTTCATGGTTGCAGCAAATAGCACAGAATTATTTGTTTTTGATAGAATCTGGTTAATGCAGATGCTTTATTTTTTAGCAATTTAAAAAAAAAAAGATATGACACGATGAAATATTATGATTTTAAGCCTAGATTTGGATATGTTTAAAACTCAGTGATTTTCTCTGTTTGTACATTTTCTGATTCTGATAAATTATGTAATTTCTGGTGATTTACATGGTATAAATTTCCCTACAAATACTAAAAACAATTGGGTAATAAATTATCAAATCTACAGCCAAATGTGGAGACTTGAATTTGTCCCTGCTGCAACTAGAACCGATTGTTTGATATCTGAATGAGACAATCCTCACTGCTCAGCCAGCCAGCGCACCAGCCTGTTTAATCAATCACCTGAGACACTTTGACAAGTCGTGACTGTGTGTTCTTGTATGAAAGACAGAGATGAAGGGAGGGAAGAAGCAGCGGTGCACCTGCCTGTGTCTGCCTGTCGGTGCATAGTGGGTGTTATGTATTAATTAATGAGGACAGTCATTCGTGCTAATTACTTCTGTGCGCAACTGCTTGGATTGGGTGTGTTCAGGAAAACGGCACACTGAGCTTCGCCTGGTGGCTGATATAAAGACTTCTGTTAGCTCCCACTGCAGAAAGTATTTTTTGCATTTAGTTTGACACTTCGGAAAATGTGCTTATTGCTGTTTATGGAGGCGCAGTAAATACAAGGCTGCAGCCAGTTAGCTTTGGTCAGCATTAAGACATTAAACGGGGGAAAACAGCTAGCCTGGGTCTGTCTAACAGTATCACAATGTGCCCACCAGCACATTTTATCTAAAGCTCACAAACTACTGTGTTATACTTTATTTGTTTAATCTGGCTTCTGGTTTTAATGTAAAGCTGGTTTATTGAACAAAAAGATGTAAGAGCAGCATTAACCATGTCTTCTAACCCTTGTTAAATAAGAATACTGTATAAACATTGTATAAATAATCAAATGAACATACTGTACTTTAAAAAAAAATGTCTGTGACAATAAAGGAATTGTGTTTTATTTTATTCTATTCTGTTATATTTCCTTATCATTACTGAACACTAAAGCCTGCGGATGGTTTGAATGACATATTATGTTTTAAAGAAACGACAAAATTATACATTTGTCAGAGGCAGAAACTGTAAAGACAGAAAGAATCACTCAACTTTGAGCTGTCTGACAGTCCTTGAACTACCTCTTTGTGACGTGCTGTAATGCGTCTACATGTCATTTTTAATAATTTGCCCAAAATTAACCATGTGCATTAACTGGATTCTGTAAAAAACAAAAAATGCTGTGCTCTTTGCTGCAACAGTGAAGCCATTAGTGGCTGAGTTGTGAGCAACAATCGCATCAAAAAATTTAAAATGATTTGGGACTTTTTGGCTAAACTCTGCAGAGCTGCAGGATGTGTTCACACAGAGCAGAGAGAGACAAGTGTGGAAACATATTGAAAAGATGGAGTGGTTTTCCAGTATTCAAGAGGAAAATTGTAACTATATCTTCGAGGTTTGTCCTTCTGAAAAGTTTAAAGAACTATACTGTGTGTTTCTGTTCATATTATGAGCGTAATATGTGCACATCCTCATAAAACTTGATCCTCTTGTCACTTTAATCAGGGCAGGAAAGCGACAATGCTGTCCAACTGGAGCAGCAGTACAAGATACACCAAGAAGGTGACTTCACACGTGAGTCACAGATTTCTAAAGAGGATTTAAGTTTTCTACAGTGTTCTGTGTTGCTAATGAGGCAGTGTCAGGAAGGCATGGAGATGATGGCAGGGTGGGGTAACGAAAGGTCTGTTATATGACAGCATCTAGCAGACGTCAGCGTCAGTCAGAGGAAACCTCTGGCCTCACCAGTGGCCTCTCAGCCCTGCAGCTCGCCCTGTCAGGCTTTAACAGCAGGGAAATGTATTGTCTGTTAGCAGAGAGGATGAACTGCAGCGAACTGAAAGAAGTGGAGGAAGAGGAGGAAAAAAGAACAGGCAGAAACAAGAAAGCAGAGGAAACAGGAGATGCTGTCTGCTGAGCTGAGTGATAGATGGACTGGGGAGATGTGAGACACTCAGTCAGGGGAACATAAAGAGATTAGAGCAGAAACTCACCAGATCTCTGACCAGAGGCATCGCTTTCCTCTTCCTGAGATCTGGCATGCTGTCGATGCTGTACAGAGCACCACCCATCCTGGAGACAAAGCACACACACATAACGGCGGCTATGTTTTCAGCTGCATTTGCTAACTAGAATCTGGACACAACAAATCAATTATCTAATAAATGCATTCAGACATTAAGGCCACAGGCTTGCCTTTTAGTTGGCAAGTTATAGATTTTCAATAACCGTACGGGTGTCAGCATCACGGTTACTTACCCTGCTGATAAAAGCAGAGAGGCTATGCCAACACTTTCTCCTCGGGCCTGGGGAGAAAGAAACAGATGAGGTGGAAAAAGTAGGGAGAGGCAGGCTGTGTTTACAGTAAAAGTGGGAAAATTAGAAGAGCACTGTACTTTACTCTTGTATTTAGTCGTTTTATTTGGTCTATATGTTGGTAACTACAACCTGTTGAGATACTGTAAGTTGTTCTTCAGCCAAAAGCTAAAATTTATGGTTAAGTTCATCACTAGCTGTTGCCACAACGCCTGCAAGTGATCCCTATACAGTGTACAAGTAAAAACAATTGTATAATAGCAAAAGTAGAAATAGAGAGGAGATGAGGAGAGTGTTGTGTCTTTCTTGGTGAGTTTGGTGTTTATTTGAGCTGCAGCTGCAACATATAATTGATTACTTATCAACTATTACATGTATTGGATACGCATGATCAACTTTTAAAGAAAAAATGTTAAAAGTCTCTGATTCCAGCTTCCTAAATTTGATGATTGTCTGATTTCTTTACTCCTCCGTGATATTAAACTGAATATCTTTGCGTTGTGCTCAAAATTAGACAACTGAAAACGTCTCCATTTTTAAAAACCATTTTCCAACGTTTTATAGCCCAAACAGCTAGCTAAATAATTGAGAAACTAATCGCCAATGAAATAAATTGCAAGTTGCAGCCCGAGTTTGAGGATCACAGTCAAAGAAGATTACAACCAGATGGCTATCCATGTAATCATTCTTCTAATTCTATCTGCTCCATTACTGAAAGACATGCTCTTTGTCTGCTTGCCTCCTCAAAGAATGACACACAGCACTGATACCAACGTCACACTGATGCACAGAAATAGTCCTGATTGATATAAATGCCAAGCTTTGAAAATGACACAGGCTTGCGAGCAGCTTCCTATGTGCGTCTTGGCTCTTCGTAAGAAAAACTATGACAGGATGCATACAGTAAAAGCTAGACTGATTAACACGCCACTGGCCGCACCCACCTGAGAGTCTGCTCCGGCCGTGGGTGATCAGAACGGACTACATGCAAATCGCTACGAGGATGGCAAACAACTGAAAAGAAAGTAGTGAAATGGCAAAACAATACAACACGGGGTAAACCGAATAAACACATATAGTACGATAAAATACTGAGGGAAAAATGGCAGACTGGTCAACAAAAGCTGGAAAAATAAAAAACAAAGTAAGAGAAAGACATGCAGGGAGCGACGCAAAAATAGTTATAATGTAAAGCAGAGCATCGGCAGAGAGAAATACTTGATCACCCAGTAAAGCCCAGTGCTTAAATGCAACACAAAAATATGGTGAAACACACTCATGCTCAGGCTGTACCTCCTGCAGCTGCAGTCGGACTCTGCTGAACAGTCGAAGCCAGTTGGCCTTGGCTCTGGCAGGACCAGGTTCCATGATCTCCCTCTTTGGGAAGCTGAAACAAGGGTTGAGAAGGGAATATATTTTACAAGAAGTACTGCAATGGATGTTGTAGTTATGGACCAATAGGGCATTTTACAGCAAATTTCTGCAAGCTGATAAAACAAGATGGTAAGCATGGTTTATCTGCAAATTATGAGCACACTGTGTTAGCATACTGGTGTTAGCACTTTGCTCCAAGCCTCACCAAGCTGCTCGTAAAGCTTTTATTGGCTGTTTTATTAGAGTGACAGTGGTTTATATGGATTATTTTCTGCCCGTGTTGTTTCCCCAGTATTCGCTATGTCTCTTTTGAAGACCTGATTGCTTGGCTTCCATTAGCTGCCATCTATTGATGTATAAACACACAGTCTACCTGGTTTCTGTTTATGTCCCTGATGGTGCATCTACTGCAAAAAGCAACTGTCTGATGAATTAAACTGAAGTGTTGACAGTATTTGGAAGCTTATATTTGCTTTGATCTCCTGTAAAGTGTCTGAACCATGTTCACCTTGGAACAGGAGGCTCCTCTGGTTTCTCTTCCGGAGCCGGGGGAGCGCTCACTGCTGTCGGAGGCTGCTCCAGGGGTTCAGGCTCTTCCAGCGGCACTTCAGATTTGGGCTCAGGCTCCAGGGGCTTGATTTCCGGAGCAGGAACCTGTGATGTGGTTGTCGGGGTGGGGGCGGATGTAGTTGTGACGGACAGATCTTGCTGCGTGGGTGTAAACGGAGGTTTGGTGGAATCTGCAGCGAAAGGGGGCAACGTGCTGTCCTGGGAGACCGGAGGTAGACCAGGAGCCGCGCTGGGCGGCTGATCCTGGGCGACCCGCTGCTGATGCAACGACGCCTGCTTCTCCAACGGCGGCCGGGCGGAGGACAGGCTGTCAGAGGGCGGCATCAGAGTGGGGGCAGTGCTTGTGGGCGTGGGGGTGTAAGGAAGCTCCTGGTCTTCACTGAGCGTGCCGTCCAGTGGGTACATATCTTCATCCTCCTCATACGGCATCTCCTCTTCATCTTCGTAGTTGTACTCCCCTTCCTCGGCGTACATGTCTCCCTCCTCTTCGTCATACAGCGCCCCCTCTTCCCCTCCGTCTTTGAGGTAGCCTCCCTCATCGCTGTAGACGCCCTGCTGGTCCTCACCGTCCCAGCCCGGGGAGTCTTCTTTGCCGTAGCTGACAGAGGAGTGGCAGGAGTGGTAGGAGTCGTTCTCATCGTAGAATTCGGAGCCTCGCAAGCTTTCGCCATCCTCTGGAACAAACTCCTCACTGAGCTGAGAGCTGCCTCGACTCAATTCGCCCGACGAGGCGTAACGACTGTCTGTGGGACTGAATCGAGGGGGAGACAAAGACACGTGTTAGATGAACACCCACAAAGGTTTAAAAGTAAACTACAGGGGTCCCCAGGCTTTCACGATACGGAGTTTGGGTGTCACAGAGATAATTAGGGAGCTTGTGTTGGGGCCAAGGAGGGAGGCAGCTAACAGGAAAAGAGGAGTGACTTTGAACAACCAGGTAACTCAGTGCAAGAGCTTTATGCTAGTGATGCATCTATTCAACTGCAAGGGGAATCATCTTATTAGTAATGGGAAAGGTTACTATGGATACTAGATCACGCCATACAAAAGCACAGTTGATTGCGAAAACAGAGGGACACACTTTTCATAAAACCGAGGATATAAATAGGCACAGTCAAATGAAAGGAACCTGCAGAGGTTGAGGGCAATTTATTAGCCTGGCAGAACAAAAACAGTCTTTTCTGTAGATAAATATATGAATAATATTTATTCACAATGATGAATGAGGCTATTAGACACCGAGACAGACCATGAGTCAGAAAGAGAGGTTTGAGACACGTAAAAAACATTTTCTTTAGCACACTAGGACACGCACTCACACTTTATTGTTTCGTCACTATCGATTACGGTCTGTTAGTTCAATAATGCACGGAGCAGGAGCGGTAAAGGACTGTATTAAGGCTTTGGGCCGTGAGCCAGAGGGAAAACACAAGTATGGATGAATGGACATGTAAACACTCAATCCAAACAGCTCCGTTTTTTTCTCACCTATCTCACGATCTCTCTTTCATCCAACACAAAGACTAACGCAGACAGTGACAAACGCTTTCATAATGCTCGACTCTAAACACATGTCTGCTGCCCTTCCTCACCAAGAATAAAAAAGAAAAAAAAAAAAAATGATGAAATGAAGATGAAATCAACATAATCTGTCTTGGACCTCTCTGCCAGGGCCCCACTATTTGGCAGTCGACCTCCTGCTGTCTCACAAGTGGAAATTAAATGTGTATAATTACCAAGTATGGGACACCCAGAATAAGACAGGGCCCTGCTTAAAGTCTCACATACAAGGGTGAGGCTGTAATAACAAGCTGTCACGGCGACAGATGCGCACACACACGGACTCACACAGGCGTTTCCACAAACTCCAACCAACAATTAACCTCTCTGTCTCCTCTCTGTCTCTGACTGTTAACGAAGCAGCGCTCACTTCCTGTCAATCAGTCACCCACACACATAAACAGAACACTGCACACAACTTCTGACAACTGAGGAAATGAGAATGATACATTATTTGCGGGAGATAATTTGTGATTCTTCACCAGGAACACAGTTAAGATAAGATGCAGGACCGGTAGTTGTCGATAAAGTAATTAAAAAAAAAAAAAGGAAAATACAGAATATACATATACAGAGATAGGGCAAGAGCGCATGCATGCAAGCACAGCGAGCGAGGAGGACGGGACAAGTCCACCACTGACGTCACAGCGAGACGGAGTCACAGGCCGGAGCAGGAGGAGGAAGAAGAGGAGGAGGAGGAGGAGGAGGAGGAAGAGGAGAAGTTGGAGAGGAGGTACAGAGACCCACCTATCGGACAGTGAGTGCCTACTGTCTAGAGAATACTGACGACTGGTGCGGCGGCTCGAGCCTGAGCCTGAGTCGATATCACTGCGCCCGTTGGTGGCCGAGTCTAAACTATCATAGCGTCTGGTAGGAGGAGCAGGGAGGGAGGTGGGGGGGAGGGGAGAGGTGGGAGAGGAGCATCAGTTGAGCTCAGAGCAAATCTTTCAAAGAAAGTTCTAACCAAGCTGAGCCTCTGCGCTGCCTGCGTCAGGATTTAGGTTCACAGTTCTGCCTTAAAACAACAGTCAGGTGGCCATATGGACATTGGAGAGTTTTTTCTTGCTGTTATCATTCCTGCTGAATGCTGACAGGTCCATTACGATGTGATCCGCAGTCATTCCTCCAAAATTAATTTGAAGGTAAGTAAAGTCAGGTGGCTGCATTGGAGTCATTTAGTGCAAAATTTTCTCTGCAGCTCAACAAGGAAACAGTATCCAGGGCAACACAAGGAAGCCATTTTGTAATGTAATTTATGAAGACAATCAATAGATGAGTCTTACGCCGAGTCCAGGGCCGATCACATGCGTTCTGACCAGCACAAAACCATGCCCGATACTTTGTTTACAATCAGTTTACATGGATTTATTTTTTTTTTAAGTTACAATAACAGCCATCTGATAGTCCCTGGAAATGTAAGATTACCATCTAACTTAAACCCGTCATAAATCACCACTTGTTTGTTAGCCTGAGACCAATAAGCCTCGCAGACGTCTCTGTCATGGTGCTCCTTAACGAGCTAAACTAACTAAATGAAACGATGACTTGGATAGGATCAGGAGCCATCAGAACATCAGAAGAATTTGAGTCAATAAGGAATGTGTTTTTTAGGCTGTACCCTTCACTGACTACTGATAACAGCAAGCAAAACCTATTTGCATTATGAACCTATTCCTTACATGTCAACACAAAGACCTCTCACTGACCACTTCCAGATGTATTCTACCCATTTACCAAAAGAACAGGTCAGTCTTTCTGTTTCAGCTTATCTGACAAAAGCATGAGTGCCGCCTTTGCAGACGTGTCTAAAAAATTTTCCCAGTTACCGTTATGCATTTATTTTCTGCACGTTAGCGCAGAAGAAGTCACGTGGGGTTTCTGATGCTCACACACTCAACATGCACACAAAAGATGCACACACACACACACACACAATCACACAGAAAAGATAGTGACAAAGGCCCGCTTCATACATGACCTGTATACAAGAACTCTGTGCCCCAGCATTGCTTGTATACACTGAGGCCGGGGTTATTCTCTAGAGGAGGAGAGCACAGTGGGACATGTTACCATGTGCAACACAGTGAAACAAAACAAGGGGCTCAGTTGTCTCAGGGCAATATGAACCCAGATGGATTTACTCAACAAGAAATATTCTGCATAAGGTGGGGAGTGTGAGGTTACATTTTCAGCATTAAAAAGTGTTGTTCTTTTGGTTCTTTCTTCTTCCTGTTTCACCAAAACAAAGCCTTTCTCTATGCTGCATATGCATTTAAAAAAAAAAAAGGTGCACATATGTAATCAGAATCAAGTAAAAGAAACTACTCTTCCTCAGTGACAAGCGAAGCGAAGTGGTGGCTGTGGCGCACTTGTTACCTCATGGCTCTGTGATCGTAGTCCAGCTCATGCATGTCCTCGTTGTAGGAGTGTCTGTAGTGCTGGTGCCTCATGGGATACTGGTGCATGGAAGCGTTGGGCTGGGAGGTGGTGTAGAAGGGAGGCGGGATGCTGTTACTGGTCTCACTGCGGTAGTCGCTGTCCCTGTCGTCCACGGCGCTGTCTGGGTCTTCATCTGTACGGACAAAGTGAGCGGGTGAAACAAGACGAGTTTGATTTAACATACAAATACTCGATTTAGAACAATTTGTATCACACTCGGCAATGTGGCAGTGATTGAACAAATGCTATTTTCAACCACTTTGACAAAAAAGGGCTCATGGTTTGGTTTCAGAAGTGTATCTGTATGTATGTGTGTTCAGTTGTGCATCTTTTTGGGAGAATAATAACTATGAATTAAAATATGAATTAATGAAGAGGTTTTTTTTTTTTGTTTTTTTTACAGGATAGTCACAGTTTGAATAACAATTTTTTAGCCCTCTTTAGTTTCTGCAGGTATTAATTCCAGGCTATACAGTATAACTGGCCAAACAACCTCTGTAATTAAAAAAAAAATGCAATAAACTGTAAATAAATAAATAAATAAATAAATATTGGCAGCTAATATTTAACAAAAGGAAAAAACATAGGAAGAATAATTAAAATAAAAATGTTTAGCCTTAATTTTACATGAGATCATGTGTATTTTTGGCTTTGTGTATATATAGATATAGATTTTATACACTGATGATAATACATTTTTGCTGTGAAAGAGTCCATAGATATACAAGATATCTTCCATGAAAAAAACTAGTGTAAAATTACTCTCTACTTTCTGTTCAATTTTTTAATTGTATTTTATTATATAAAAAAATTACCAGTACTAAAGTCAAATTCAACTGTTTCATCTGTTAAATATAAAGAAAATATCTATAAAATATTATTTTTTTTATGTTGACAAAAAATTTAGGAAGATATTGGACATTTAAACTCAGTTCAGTTTTGTAAGTTTATTAATATTATTATCTTGTATTTTAAAAATACAGAAAAAAATCTTTAACTTAAACAGATAATATTCTGTAAATTCAGTGAAATTGTAGATTTTTTTGTTTGTTTTACAGTGTAAGATAGCCTACTATGCAGGCTAAAAACCATGACAACAACTAAAAATAAATAAATAAAATAAAAACAGCCCATACAATACAATCATTATTGTTTATTAAGCTTGTTGCTTTGAGTGCACACTACTAACTGAAGAAACCTCAGCTCACGTCTACACGTACACAGGCATTTTTTCCCCCTGTGCATTTTGACCCTTCCTCCACACATGAATGCAGTTTCAGTTCACTGAAAACTCACTTTTTCAAAAACTCTTTAGAGAGAAGATTTTGAAGAGTAGACTGGGAGAAATTGAAACTTTTGAAAACTTTAATGCAGGCACCCACTTCCACTTCCTGATTGGGTCTTATCAGCGGCTACATGTCCTCCCCTGATTCGTTGCACCACTACAGTGTGACTGGACAACTAAGCAACCAACTGTCTCCTTCCAAGTGCATTTCAGGCATGTTAGAGCAGACAGACATTATTTCTGAAACTTATCTGGATTGAAATTGTTCAGGAAGACCATTTTGAAATGAGAATGTATCAGTGTGATTGTAGCCTGAGATGTGTTTCTCTAAACTTTTTTTTTTTATCAACTTTTCTTTTGGACTGTGTTGCCTGAGCAAAAATGTTGAGGGCCAACCTGTGATGTATAAAAGTAAGGAGACTAAATTAGATTTTGGAAAGTGAAAAGGGCTTATCTCCAGAAATTATGGAAATAATTAATATGCATCCTATTTGATACGCACGTGTCTTTACTTGAATGCATTTTAATGGTTTGACTTTCAAATTCATCACAACAACATGGATACGAGCTGAGATGAAGTTCAGAGAGGCTGTGTGGGGAACAAATACATTCTCTTGGCAGCTAATGGTCTCTGAGGAAAACTACACAAGGAGATCATTACATTAAGTGAGACATGGACAATAAATACAGAATTACCCCAAGTCATTAACAGGAGCGCATGAGAGAAACTTACTTTGCTGATCTCCCCACAGACTCCAATTACCTGCAAAGATATAAAGGATGGAAAACCCCAAATTAGGTTTGGGCTGCAAATTAAACGCACCAGCAGTCCACAAAGCCAGGTAAACAAACATGGAGAGATTTGTAGCCTTGAGAAATAATGATTTTAAGATGTAAATATGTGTGTAAGGGAGTGCGCGTGCACATGTGTGTGGTTATTGAAGAAGCTGCAGCTGTCCTTGATGCTGTTAGTTAACAAGGAGCAGAACATTTGTACATGCTGTTATCATCTCTGCACAAACACAGGCCTTGTGGTGACAGCCAAAACCACTTTCTGTGAATTCGTACTATGCACACTTACCCACCTGCTCCCTGTGTCATCACCATCACCAGACGGACGGACGGACAGACAGACAGACGGGAGTGTGTGTCTGACACACAGCGTATGTCAGCTCACATTCATCACACATCTATCAGCTATAAGTCATTCTAGTGTTGAAGCAGGCATGCATTGGTGATTAATGACATCAGTTTCCCTCCCTTCCTCCCTCCGTCAGTCCTTCGCTTCATCTATTAGTCTCATTTCTACCTCCCGTCTTGCCCCATTCTCAATGAGTCAAGGCGGTAAAAGCAGAGGAAGCAGGGAGAGGAAAAACAGGAGGCATGAAAAAGACCACAGCAGGAGACAGCACAGGAGGACACTTACAGCACTGTGTGGTTGGAGCGTGGAGTGGTCGCTCCTGTTCTTCTTGATAGGCGTACTGAGGTTAAAAAAACAGCAACAAAAAAACACAGCACGACACGTGTAAGAAAATAAGATTTACTCCTTTCAGGAAAATTGCTGGTAAAATACTGACTCAGGCTGTTGTGCTGTTATTGGCAGCGATAGCGTGTAACTGTTCAAGTGCAACATTCTGATTACATGTCATTTCACTTTAATGTACAACACTGTCAGGGTAATGTGCAATATTTCACTTTCATCACATTTTTTTAGGTGCAAAATTTCATTATCATGTGTGACATTATCTCAGTATAATTGCTTGCACTTTTTTTTTTGTTCTATTCCAGCCTTACTGTACTTTGCCTATTTTATTTCAGTGATGTATTGTAATTATTCCTTATTGCTTTGCTACTTTATAGGCACTTCATTTCATCATTTATTGTTTTTTTTTTTCCTGAGCGATATCTAGCACAAAAATTCAGGATTAATAAAAATGTATAAAACTTAGAGAGAAAATAATGAAAGACCGTGAAAAAGAAACTAAGTGTTAAGAATACAAAAGAAAGTGAAAGAGAAAGGAATGAATAAAGGAGGAAAGTGACAGTGTGCAACAGAAGGCAGTTCTTACATCTTGATCTCTCATTGCGTTAAGTTGTTCAAGTTTCTTGGCCCAGTATCTGGCCTCTTCCTCTGGAATGTCTGCAGGACAACAGAAATGTGTTACTCTACTTAGCAACGCAAACTGTGGACAGTAAACTCCTCTATATGTGCTTCTATTAGCACTGGAATACAGCTGTAGAGATCGCATTCAATTTCTATAAATTTAATGGCAGCAGCATTGGACGTAAAAGGTAGTGGTGACAGTAATAGCTACAGATTGAAAAAACGTTCTTTGTAAACCAATCTGGAGCTTCTGATCATGTAACACAAGTTTTCTTTAGCTGATAGAGTTTGCTCATGAAATTGTACTTCTTACATACATCTATAAAGCTAATGGATCTTGTGGTAAGACTGTTTTGCCAACTGCTGTTTCCCAGATCAAGAATGTACTTTCTTAAGTAGTATTACCAGAGGCAGAGTTAGAATTGCAGTCGTAACCGTAGCACTTGTGGTGTTAATAGTGGAAGCAAAGTTAAAGCAGAAAAAATAAAGCACAAGGTAGCATGAATAACATATAATAAAAGGTCCTACCTAGTGGCAGTTCAAAGCGTGTGTCCAGCAGCAGCCTGTGAAAGGTTGGATCTTTGGTTCCACAGATCTCATTCTCAGCCATGATCACATTGGAGTCCAGGGTCAACCACTGACCTGGACCCTCCTGAAAAAGACAAAGAAGGACGGAGAGAAATATGACTGGAACAGTACATACTGCATGATAAATGTCTCTTGCTATGTGTTTAAAGTCAATCACAGGCTGGTTCTAGACATCTAAATCACTTTTCAGATTGCAATGTTTATGAAAAAGTATTCACCCTCTTGGAAGTTTTACTCTTTTATTGCTTTTTTTTATGGTGAATATATATTTTGACTGTATCTGGATGTAATGTGCGTCTCTACGCTGATGACACAGTTTTGTACAATAGTGTGGATACTGTACATTCTGCTGTCAAAGGCCTTTAGGACTGATTTGCTGAGTTTGCAAGTGACACTCAATAAGCATAAATCAGTTCTTAATGCAGATAACAGTAAATACTTGATTTTCACCAGCCACTAATCTGTGACACAAATATCGAAAGACTGACAGAACTCAAAAATCTCGACAACTGGATCAATGAGAGGCTGACTTTTAAATACCACATGTCCAAACTGGTGAACAAACTACAACAAAAACATGTCTTTTACAGAAATAAATCATTGTTCACACTATACTGTCAAAAAAATGCTTTTTGAGGCAACTTTTCTCCAAATACTAGATTAAGGTGACATTTTATTCATGCATGCATCAGCAGTGGCCTCCATTTATCCCTCTGCATCAACGTTTATCATAACTGTGTACTCTATAATAAGGCTGGGTGGTCTTCCTTCTTGTAAGGCAGGACAGACACTGGATTTTATTCATTTATAGGTCCCTTCCAGTACCTCTTTGCTGTCTTTTTAGGTGGGCCCTTATAATACATACCACATAATGACTTGATTAAGCTGCCGGTGCCGGCTGTTTGACTGAGCTCGGAAGATCCAGTTTTACTCCCTGTGCACCTGCAACCTGAAATAACCTGCAGAATCTATGAAAACGTAACTAATTTTTTATCCTTTGGGCAATTCAGGTTTTTGTTTTTCATCTTGTTCTAATTTATTTGTGCGCCTACACCTTCTATTTTCTCGCTCGGCTTCATTGTAAATGAGCCCTCCATGAGTCAGAATAAAGTTTGAATAAATGAATATGAAGGTGACAAATACACATAGAAACCAAAACCAATTTAAAATGCAATCTATAGTTGAGACTCTTTATCACTTCCATAGCTAAAAAATAAAAAAAACCCTCAAAGACTCTCCAGTTGTCACATGAGAGGCCTTAATTAAAGCAGCAACCAAAAACAAGTCATTTGTTTTTATAATCTGTGTGTTGATCCATGGAAGATTAAATAATTGCATTAATTTATTACTCCATCTGGAGCATTGGGGTACGTGTACAGTAAGCGTAGCCAATGAAACCCAAGGCCTTGGCCAAAGAGAAGGAAGGGAGGAGTTGTACCTCGTTGGACTGCCGTATGCTGCGCAGGGGGATCCATAAGGTGCCCACCATGGTGTCCCAGATCAGCCCTTTATTCCACACCTCCACTGTGAGGCCCAGATCCAGGCGGTTTATTTCACTGTTTGGCACAAAGAGGAAGTGGCAGGATGAGAAGAGAAGAAATAAACTGGGAAAATGCAGAGGAAGAAAAAAAAAAAAAGAAAGAAAGAAAGCGTGAAATAAAAAAGAATGTTATAAAGAGCTTAGTGGAGACACGGTTGTATACAGAACCATGAGGAGCTGCTTCAAATCTGGTGATGGATATGCACCATGATTCAATCTGCTGTGGGAAATGAGTCATTCAGCATGAAGATGGAAAAGAGTAGGTGATTGTCAACAAGGCTGCCGGCAATATATAAGAGACAGCACAGATAAGACAACAGTAGGGACTATCTTTATTTCTGTATGACAAACAACAGTGAACTCAGTGGCTTCGTTTTCCCAAGCAACAGCACACAACGTCAGGACTAACAAGGATTTGTAGTGCGCCTACATATCTGACTGGCAGATTATCAGCTCACTATGCATCTCTCACCACTGAACAGTTTCTCTTGCCGGGGCCCACTGAGTTAAATGAATAAAAGCCTAATAATAACCGTGGCTTTGATATGAAAATGTATCCTACTGTTTTCTTGTGAGCTGAGGAAGTAATCAGGCTGAATGGTGCGCTGCTCCAAAAAAGGGGGAAAGAAAATGAAAGGCTAAGGAGGGGGGGAGGTGACTTTTCTTTTAGTTTAGTTTGTGGCAGATTAAACAAAAAAACAGAAGGATTGCAAGACAAGAAAGTTTCATCAGTTGCGTTTGGCACTTTTACTGTTGTGTTGACGTTTTGGAGGTGTTGATGAAGCTTGAATGGGGAGAAACCCTCTTGTCTGGGTGTGTGAACTCTGCTGGAGCGGCTCAAACACCAGCAGAGGTGTTATTTCACCCCTCTCATTCCACAAAGGGAGAGAGTCAAAAATAACTCCTTTTAGGAAGTATAAATGTCACCGCTGACCCGGCTGCCTTGAGCTGCACAGCGTCTGTGTGCCGTCGAGCTGAAACCCCGAGGTGACATCTCTGTTCATGTGTAATAACGGTATCCATTCCTTATTTAAAGTCCCTCCTCAGTTGTTCGCTTAAGTTCCAAAGACTCGTCTCTTTGCGTTAGCGTTACATTTTTTATCAGTTTTGACCTTTAAAATAACCAGTTTCTGACTTCAGATGCTAACTTTATATTGTTGTGCAGATCTGCCTGTCTCTCCAATCACCCCTCCACCACTGGTTGCAGCTTAAGCACACCAGCTCCCCTACTACGCTGCTTAAACTACTCTATACTCTGAGTACTTCAGCTACACATGTTCAAACCGGAAACTGATTCTGAAGAAAACGAACCCTGCACAGTGACAGAACTGGTTTCTTAGGTTTACTATGTATGAAACCCCATAAATCTGTGTCTTTCATTGTGTTTCTGCATTTATTATTTTCACATTTGAGTGCTAAAATGTCCAAACATGGTGCTGATGGACATGTTAATAAGATTTTAAAAAAAAAACAGATTTCCAGCAGAGTGGGTCTTAAACACCCAGAGTCTTTAGTAGTTTGAATTTCTTTAATATTTAATATGAAGCATTGGGTTGAATCTGCAAACTAACACGAGCCTTATTTTTTTTTTAAACAAAATCAAACATATTGCAATTTTACTACACTTGTACTTTCAGAAGTTAAGAGTAAAAAGATGTGTTCGAACTAAAAAGCTACGACGGCAGCAGAGACATAGAAGGAAAGTAAACAGATGGTTGAATACTTTGGGGGATATTGCACCAATTTAGCACTGCACTCAGAAAACCGGGTCTGTGTGAGACCTTCAGAGGGGCACAAGGGGACACACAGAGCGAGATTTCAAAACATCATATAACAACATAGTTTAGGGCATACTCTGTTTCATTACAGTGACCCTTCCTCTCCTAAGATGCCACAAGATATGGACAAATCTGAGGGGAACAGATGAAGCAACACTCTGGAAAACATTTGATCACAAAGGATGTTGTTCTGTCTACTGCAAACTACAGGAGAACTATTGCTTCCAGTATAGTTATTTTTCCAGAACCACTATTACATTTTTGTAGCAGAACCGATGCCTCTGGAGTTTGTTCGACTACTTGTGTGGCTATCTGCTTTGCACAAATCGGACAACTTATTAAAAGTTTAAATTACACACATATATATAGTTATCTGCATCTAAAGTGACAGCAGGTTAGTAAATGTGATTTAATTGCTCTAGTGGGAATAACATTGTGAGCAATCTAGTGTTAATACTTCAGCATTTTTACAGCATAGAGGACATTTTGGCAAACTCCAAAGAGGTATTAGTCATGAAATATCACCAGCGCCAAAATGATAAGAGTTATTAATAAGAAAATATGCTGTTTACTTAAGTATAGTAGTCATTTTTGTTAATCAGATGGTCAGAAATAACTACATAACCATCCAATAAGGTAATGTGGACTCATTGGTTTGTCTTCTTGTCATGTGTTATCAGCCCACAAACATCTATTCTGAGCCGGGAAAACACCTGCACATGAAATCAAATTTTTCTAAAAAACAAAAAACCCATTACATCCTGACAAAAGGAAATCATAAAGACATACAGTAACAAGGTGCTCATCAAACACTGCTCCATGACAGCACAACTGTGTCATCACCTGTGAGATGTGCACATAAACACTGCGTGCTCACTTCAGCTGGCAAAATACTCCAAAGAATGCACCAAATGCAACAAATGCACATCATTCCACTGAAAACCTACCTTACTGGCAGCAGCTGAAATTCTATCCCTTTATAGTAAAATAAAATCCCAATGATATGTATTCATTTCTTTTATGATATGTCTTTGGACTTTTCAGCTTTTATTTGATGGACAGAAAACTTGAAGAGACAGGAGAGGAATTACGTGCAGCACATGATCCAGACGGCCAGGAATCGAGCCGGGGATCTGCTGCTAAAGGTGCATGTGCCTACACTCTCCTTAACCTTTTGGCTATTGGGTGGACCCATGATGATGCTATTTCTCCTGCAGAGCATCCGGTTAACGGCCATCATGTGACATAAATCAACTAATGGCAGCTAGGTCATCTTAATTCTAGTTAAATTGTTAAGTGTTCTTTCTGATAAGGACCGTGGAAAGACCTTCACAAAAAAACAATAAGATGAACATTTGTCATCAAATCGTGACACCTCTGTTACCCATAATGCAACTCAACTGTCCACAGTTCAGTGAGAGATTTGGATGTGTTATGCTAGTAGCAGCTAATGTAGTGTTTCACCACAGAGAGAAGCTCACTTATTTTCAACTCCAAAACCAGAAACTTTCTTCAATTTCAAACTTGTTGTCTTCAGCCCAAAGCAACAAATCAAAAAGGATTTGCAGTAAAGACTGACACCAAATTAGGACAGTTTCCACAAGTGGATTTACAGGCAAAGTTATGTGTTGAAGTGGGAAGAGACATGATGAAATAAAGTAATCACTCACAACATGAAGTCCTGCTCCCAGCACGGCTGACTGCCGCGCACAGCGATGGTTGTGCTCTTGACATTCTGCACCTTCAGGGTCACGTATGTGTTAAATTTCTCTGTGAGGAGTAAAATACAAACATGGCCGGTTATGTCACTGTGTGTTTACATTAAACAGTAAATGGTAAGTTATCATCACAGGTCACAACTCACCTTGGGGTCCATCAAGCTTGCCTTTCTTCACTGCGAACAAATTGAAAAAAAAATACAAGAAATTAGTCTTGTTAGCCTGACAAGAGTTCCCATTTACATACTGCAAACTTAATGAATCTACAAAAGGGGTTTTCTGCCGCCTGTGCTTGCAGCGTCATGTGACTACGGTCCATGTGCATGAAAGTATGGATGGCTGGTGATTGACAGCAGTCTGGCATTTTAGGAAGAGGGTGGGAGGTCTGCACTTCTCAGTCTGGGACTTCTCTATGCTCTTTGGGTAGAATGCCAGGATCTCACTATGAAAGACTGCATCCGTTCAGCGGGACACGGGAGGAGATCCAGAAGGACGGTTTGTGCAGGTAGAAAAAGTAAAAAGCTCGAAAGGACTGCGACCACATGCCCCGTCCTCTCTGAATGATGCATGTGTGTGTACTCCTTCATGGTTGTCAGTCAGCTGATGGATAAAAGACTGAGCGGTGCTTCACTTTTGCTAACACAATAGACAAGGCTCTGCTGAGGTGCCCCTCCTGCACACAGGGTCCTCTGGAGGTACCAGCCTGACTTTTAAAGCCACGGTGACGTCAAAAGCCTATTCATTATTCATTCAGTCTTGCACCCTGCCGATGCCCATCATCCCCGTGTTCGGTAGTGAGGTATTAATATTCAGAGCTCTGGTATTTAATCCCTGCTGACTGCCTCTTTTCACTGATGTTGCATTTACGGGAAAAGAAATGCAGGAAATATTCATAATTTAAAATCAAACTCGACATGTGTGAGCAGCTGCAGGAGGACTGGAAGGGTTTAAAATAAAGGGAGATGAATATAAAAAGACAAGAAATTAGGGTTGCAAAAGAGATGATTGCAAAGAAAAAACAATTCTGAGTCATATTGTTAGTCAGTGACAGCAGAGCAGGCATGATAATCATTGTGGACAAATTGGCTTCTAAAAATAGCATCACCCCCCCCAAAAAAAACCCCAGGGATAATGCTTATCACTTTATTATCATTCTGATTCATTAAGGGCAGGTGTGAGGTGAAGCATGTTCTCCAACCTCAAAGTAAAAAAAATCCTGATATTTCAGCAGCAGAGGAACAAGACAGGTTCATTTCCACGACGGCACCGAACATCTATTTGACAAAGACGCTTTTAAATAAACAGTAATTAACAGATGCACCTCGGCTGCACCCTCGCCAACACTTTCTCTCGCTCACGCTGTCCTCTCCTCCTCGCCGTCAGCCAGCCATCGGGTCCTCTCTCACTCAATCACTCGCTCCTACAAGCTCCCCTCTGCCATGTGGCAAGTAATGCACGTGTGCTCCCTTTCTATCTCTTTCTCTCGTGCTCCATTAATCTCTCTGTGGAGCCGGATGCAGGCAGAGTGAGCTGCATCCCCAACACTAAAAATAACCACTTCAGTGTGACAGTGGGGGGTGCTGGAAAGAGGGGAGTGGTGAGTGTATGTGTGGTGGGATGGGGAGGAGGAGGAGGAGGGGGGGTTCTTGCTCAGAGGCGTAAGACTAAACCAACAGTGCTGCAGTTACAGCAAAGAGGAAAGAGTGAAGGAGAGTAGGTAAAAAAAAAAAAACAGCAAAAATAAATAAAAGGAGCGCTGCACATTTTCTGCAAACTCTCAACAGAAAATGTGGAGTCGCTGCCACAGCAGTTGCAGGATTTCATTTAGTCTTTCTTTGCTCTGGAAAAAAATTGGACAAATTCATTCCCTTTGCCCAGATCCAGAGGAGCTAAAGGGTCTTTTTTTTTTGGTTAATATTTCTTGAGTTTTTCCAATTAAAAAGCTTTCAAAAGGCCCACACTTCAGAGCAACAAAGATATAAAGCTGTAGTCTTGTGGAGGGAATGCAGGAAAGAAAATCATAAAGAATACGACCAAAAAAAAAAAGAGGGAAAAGTGAAAAACAGTTACTGACAGTAAAGGGTCTCTGCCTGCCTCATAAAATACACATACCTGCAGTACACCTCAGAGAATGTATTAACCGTATGACAGCTGTAAAAGTATACTCTGTGGTCACTGATGATTGAGTACTCCTCTTATCCAGACCTAATTAAAACCTGCTACATGAATTACACTGAAACTATGAAGATTCTACAGACTGTTAGCACAGTGTCTTTCAGAATCGATATAAAAACAGAGCATATACAATAGAGAGTATATAGGATAGAGATCATTAGCTACAGAAGTTGAATACTTTGTATTGACTGCATATATTCCCATTAAAATGCAATTGCTCTTTGCTCCAGACTCCTAGCAACCCCAGTCGTTATTACAGTAATGCAGCAGTGTGCTCATAAAAAGACCGAACCGGCCAAGGACGTTGCGGTGCTACATTATATTCATTTCGTTCTGATTGCTTATGCAAAAACGTTTCTTCTCTAATGATGCCGGGTGGCTCGGCGGTGCAGGGTTTAGCAGCAGCTGGGCCTTTCCGTGTGGCGTTTACATGTTCTCTCTGTCTATGCAAAGAAACTGGCCGTCGGTGTGACTGTGTGGTTGTGTGTCTGTCTGCGTTTGCACTGTGATGGGCTGGCGACGTGTTCAGGGTCACCCAGTGTCAGCAGGCTCGTGACCCTCTGCAGATGGATAAATGAACAAATTATCTGAATACACATGTGGAAATACCGTTAAATACATGTTAAAGGGTTATACTAAGGGTGTCTGTTATGCCTCAGTCTTTTATGACGTTACAATGCCTAAAATGACATCTTTGCTACAGGATGTGACAGCACGGATGTTTCCCAGATTTGCTCACTCAGCTTCTGTGGCATCATTTTGCCATCTCCATCTAACATCATGAGACATGCAAGTGGAGTATGCACACACAAGTACCACATGACTGCTGCAGCCCAGGATGAACAGACATATTACTCATCGCCCTTTTATTTCTCCTTTTTTTTTCTCGCAGCCACCACGAAAAAAAAAAAGAAAAAGTAGTATCAATATAAACCTTCGCTGCAGGCCTGCAACAGTGTGTAGAAACTAAATAGAAAATGCCAGCAGAGGCCTAAAATACCATTGGGGTTGCTATGCCAACAAAGCTTCGGGACATAAAGGGACCACCAACGAGCCGGAATCTCAATCCTGACATCTGTGCAATCAGCTCCAGCACTGGTGTCAACAGCATAGCAGCCTCTTCACAAACACTACAAGCCTGCCGCCGAATCTGACGAAGAAGCTTGAGGGAATCACTTTTTTCATCTTTTCATCCCTGCTCTCTCTTCATCAAAAAAAAAGGCACCATATTTATAAAAGTATGTCAGAAATGGACCGAGTGCACGCTACGAATTGGCTTAAAATTTCAAAAGAATGACAACTAGCTGGTGCAATTTGGAGAACTCCAAGGATTAAAAAGAGCTGCAGATCTGTACAAGTCTGTTTTAGAGTGCTCAGGAAGTGGAAGGTGACAGAACAAAGATGTGCACACATTTCAGCAGCCATTAAAATAAATATTGGATAACATAAACCTGCACTTCAAGGGTCTCTACACAAGCGTTACTGCAGTTATTACTCAGTTTTTCCTGCATCAACCAGGCCTTTGGATATGCTGTACTGACATAAACTCCTGTTTACAGTGTTGTTATAAAACACGTGGAGAAGTTATCCTTGCTTGGAGGCAGTGAAAAACTGCTTAAATTTCAATACTAAGGAAACTTCAAGCAAAATTCCTGTCTTGTTTCAAATGGAGTTTGGTTCCCAAAGTGAGATGTGGAGATGACTAGGAGAATTGCATTTCACTTCTTAGACATTTGCACAATCCAAGCTCACATTTTCCACCTGGACAGTTAATCAGGTTAATTTAAATTAATGCCTGATAGCAAATCAGATTTGATGAAAGGTGGTCTTCTGCTCTAAATCTGAGAAAACCCCAGAAGAAATGCAAATCCAGCCTCACTTTACATCTCTCACAGGCCCACTCTTACCATAAATACTCACTTTTTACAGCAACAGCATGACATTTAAGTGACTACATCTCCTTTAGGTCCTACTCAAACCATCACAGACGACATCATCACCGAAAAATGACAAATAACACCATCGGCAAGCGGTGTGGTTGGATCCTGGGCGTGTTTTTACAGTAGGAACCCAGAACATGGAATTTTGTTTTATTCTAAAGCCAGAATCGGTGGTGATTTTGTAGCTCAATTAATAAGAGAAACTGAAGAATATTGCAAAGAGTCACGTGGTTTTAAGAAGAAAAAAAAAACCCCTACTGTAAAGAAACCCAGCAGGCTGCACACGCCTTTATTTTTTTTTTTCGCTCCGGGAAATTACGCACGAAAACTGACATGACAGGTTTCCAAACGAGACAGTTATTAACCATAATGCCTTTTTTTTTTTAAATGAAAGATAAAGCCCTCCACACAGGGCCAAGCAGAGAGTGGATCGCATCTTGCTTTTACTATGTTTGACAGAGGCTGCCAGGAGCATACACCTACTCCATAAATCGATCCGGTTGTAGCGGTGCCAGGTTTTTAGTAAAAACGAGTCTGAGCTGTCATCAAGGACAGCAGGAGTGCAACATTTCTGGATGAATCATAGCGAAGTAGAGATAAGAAATGTGACAAATCTACTAGAGGTGATGGGAGATTTTTATTTTTCTACCTTTTAATGGATTTGCAATAAACTGCAATTAAGGAGCAATTAACGCTCCTTGTGCAGGATGGATTTTCTAAAATATTTATGCGTGGATCTGTAGCATCACAAGCAAATCTCCCCCTTAAAAAAAATAAAAAATAAAAACTGTAAGGATACTATTTAAACTGCTGGGTGAGAAAAAAAAACGCACAGCAAGTCGTGCCAAGACATGCATTGGCAGTTCTTTTTTTTTTCCTCCTTACCTCCAACACACAGCAATGACATTTCTTATAGTCCAGCTTCTTCACCAGCTTCCTTTATTGGCTGAGCTAATCAGTGCAAATATACAGTCCGGTGGGGATGAATGGCAGGAGCGGGGCTGGAGATGGAGAAGCCTGCCGTCGGTGTGGAGAGCAGGACCGGGGCCCGCCAGGGTTCGTTACACCTCACAGGAATCAGGAGTCTTCGCGCTTTGGAGAGGAAACGTGGCTGCAGTCCTCCTTGTGTGTCTCTTTTTTAAGGCGCGTCTGAGTGAATTTGAGACTCTTTTTCTCTCCCCCCACCCCTAGTTCCGCTCTCAGCTCTCCGGTCTCCAACACTCAGCCATCTTGTTCAGCTTCAGCACCACCGCTGCGTGGACAGCTCCGCCCGTGACGTCACAGCGCGTGTTGATGGTGTGGAGGGTGGTGGTGGTGGTGGTGGTGGTGGGGGTCTCACAGGCCACATTGTCAGCCTCTGGCTTCATAGTTAGCACCAGGTTTCTTGTAACTGATTTTTCTCAACGTGTAATAAGATTTTTGTTACTTCCTCCAGAAACAGCTTATGTAAAAACCCCTGAAACTCCAGAGTCATTCCATCCCAACAACTTCTGCTCAACCATCTCTGATTTGCTTGAAAATTTCACAGCATAAAATATGACTACTTATATATCTTCATATGTCAAGCACTCTCTGAGAAAATGTTTCTGCACTTCGAAATTTCAATAGATATCTGAGGAAGCAATAAAGTCAAACCCCTAAAACTTCAAGTGTTATTTCTCATCATCTCATCAGTTCAGCTTCTGCAATATCGAACAAGTTGATCAAATAATCTCTGATTATGGCTGAGTTGAAGTGTCATAAAAAAGTCCCATCATTGAGCACACATTAATGAAAAAAATATGCTACTGATGCAGCTTGTCTCCATATTTTTTTTTTTAACCACATTAACTTATTTTTGCAACTAATATTTTCAAACACCATCACATTCTCAACATGTAACAACAGAAACTAAAGGGTCATTCCATCCAAAATTTTTTACATTTTGTAGAACAATTTCTGCTCAACCATCTCTGATTTGCTTGGAAGTTTATTAGCATAAAATATGACGATTCATAAAGATATTTGAGAAGTTTTACCTTCATATATCAAGTACTTTACGAGACAAAGATAATTAAAAAGCTTTTTTCCCGCTACACACTGAAATCTGAGGCTATGTTTGGACAATATCTCATTAACTGATAAACCAAAATATTGTTAAATGGCCTAATCCAAGTACAACAGAGTTTCAAAAATGATTCCCAAAATAGAAATGTGGGCAATTTCTTTTTCCAACTTGGAAAGTATTTGATATATTGATTTAATATTTTAGACACCATTTTTTATGTTAATAAAAATGTTTTAAAAAATGTAATCAAATACTGGCATGTTTCTTTCAAACTTAGCTGTATTTCACAAAACGTTTTGAAGAATTCAAAATTTCAGAGATGTAGCTACTTTGCTGTAAGAAGGTAATGATGGTGTTCACAAATGACGAAGTGACTGAGGTAAGACACTAGAGTGGAAGCAGATCAACTGTCCACACCTAACTTTACAGAGCACTATGAAATCAACAGAGACAATTAGTGAGAAATTACTTGATTGCCGGTGGTGAAGATCTAATTTTCTACCATGTTAATGTGTCCATATTGTGTTTTTCACCTAAGAAGAGGTATCAAGATCAGCACTTAACGAACAAGTGAGGGTTTCTACCTTGAAGCTGCAGTGTACCCATGACTGTTTCAAAACCGTGGACTCACACTTCTGGGATTTCCTATGTAACGAACCTAAAGAGCCAATCGTGTAGATGCTCAGGGAGGGCTTTGAGCGTCATTACTTTTCTTCAGTTTCCGGTTCAAACATGTATGGTTGAATTACTGCAACCTTGCTGTTGTGTACGACAAAGTAGTTTTACAGTGTTTGAGCAAAGGTGTAGGTGAGCTGGTGTGCTGGGCTGCATCGAGTTGGGAGAGAAAGAGGTAAAGATGTCACAGACCTGCACATTCTTAAGAAAGTACAGAGTTAGATCTAAGCCATTTTAGGCTAGGACGGGATCATTTTTAACTACAAAAAACTGATAAATGTGCAACTTTGATGCACAGAGATGTGTTTTATAGGGTTAAATCAACAACTTAAAGACGGACTTAGATTCTCAGTTATTAAAGTCAGTGTTTAACCGTGATGCATACTTACCGCAGGTCATTCCACTGTCATCCCTAAAAACAACAAAAACCAACAACCAGACTGACAAACCGCTTCAAAGCTGGTCCAGGATTGACAAAGCATGTGTGGGACAGCAGCTCCCCCTGTTGGGACACACAGTCCTCTGCACTATTACCGTATATCATCTATCTTCTTCTATCATCTCTCTTTTAAATCATACTTTTACTTCCTGTGGTATCCAGCTGTGAGGTTCAATAAGTTGCTTTATGGTTTGATTTAAATTTTGTAAAGCAATTAATTATCTCACAACAATTTAAAAGAGTGAAACCGCACACGCTAGTTTTTGTTGGAAATAGCATTTTCAGTATGGTTTAATGAACATTTGAAAAAAATACAAATATACTTCACAAATATAGAATCTTACAGCATTTGAAACTATCTGCCCATTCCACAACCTGGCATTATCAATGGAAATTCAAACATGTATACCCCAACATTTAATTTTTTTTTTTTACCCCTTCCAGTTTTTTTTTTTTTTTCATGCATTCTAAATAACACTACGTACACGTCCCCCGCCCACCACATGCCAAATGGCATTTATTGTAAACTGATAATTAGGCTTGCAGTATTGGACATGCCATGAACCTGTAGATAACTGCTGATACAAAGCTACACGATAGGGTTAGAGTCAATTCAAATGTACTTAATTAAGGCAGTTCTGAAGGGAAGATTACACTGGATTTGGTAAAAACCTGAACTGTAAAAAACCCTCAACGCTGCCACACATACATTCATAAAAGAAACATGTGTAGGAATACACATTCTGCAGAATACACATATTCATAAACAATAGGCATGTAGATGTGGACTGTGTGTGTTGTGTTTTTTTTTTTTAAGTGTTTGTACCCTTTTGCATTGCTTGACGTTACCATGCCTACATGCTCTGTTGAATGGCACTGACTTGACCTAATACCACCAAGCCTGTCCCTCTGGAGTGGGTCTCTGCCTGGAGTCTCATCATAACTTCTCACTGACAAGGAATGAAAGCATACAGTTAGAAAAAAAAGAAAATATGACTGTCATATCAATATTACGATACGTTTTAAGTGCTGTGTCGGAAATCACTCCCTATATGATGGACACTCACTGGTTTTTGAAGTAGTGTGCAGTAAAGTGACGGTTGGAGAGTCTCACAACTCAAATGTTTTCATCTACATAATGTGCCACACTGCACCGTGTTTAACATGTTAGTAGAAAATACTGCACATGCCATAAACTCCACGTGTTTTTTCCCCGGTATGTTGTCTAAAGGCGCTACATGGGGGCTATACTTACACACTCAGACACTCAAATAAAATGCAGGGGGTAAATGTGGACGCTACATGGTGGTTATGGATTGATTTCAGACACAGCCATGGTCTTTGGATGCTTGAATTGAATTGAGAAGTATACATGAATTATATGGATGATTATATAGAATAATGTGGTCATTTTAAATGAATGCTTAGACATTTTTGAAATTTGCTTTCTTGAAGAGTAGACTAACACCATTCTCAAGTTTGTGCAGGAAGGATATGCAGCCAGTTAACTTAGCTTTGCATGGAGCCTTTTAAAGGTGCGTTCAGTTGTTGCTAACCAGCTAACCAGCTAACCCTGACCTGCCTCTGGTCATTGTTGTGGTGTTCCTCGATGCCATTTAGCTGCTTTTCCAGGAATGATGAACTCTAGCTCCACCACCTTTGATTGTACTGACGATGGTACTTGGCTATCTCATCATTAGTGGACGCTACGGTGTCTTTGTTTTGCTCCAAGCCTCAGTGAGCTGGTTTGGCTGCATCACAAAATGCTCTGACTTATCTGCATTTCTTTAAATCAAACACAGTCGTCGTAAGCGGGGCTACGGGAAAGATGCAGCTTGATGAGTGGAATTGTTTGGGTGGAACATTTTCATGCAGGGACACAAGAACTGTCATTGAAATGTGTGGTCCATCCACAACAAACAAACAAACAAGCAGGACTGCAAGTTCCAAATCCTCCGCAAAACTTGAAATTTTCAGTCTGGAATGTAGCCTGGAGTGTGTATTTTGTTGTTTCATGTTTCCTGCAGTGAAATAAATGCTGACATGCAGATAGCAGAAGGAGAGAACGAAGCTGGCTGAAATGAGCGGCCAATGGCAGCACCCTACATCCGGTGAGTCAGACGAGGCTGGAGTGGCCCTCCAGCTCTAGCCAATGGTGGAGACTCACTGGAGAGGCAGCTGAATGACATGGAGAACAAAATCAAGCTAGCCAAGCTGAGGAACACGAGGAGACGGGCTGGGCCAAGGCTACGAGGTTAGCAGTGACTAAAATTTCAAAATAAAATACTTCGGAAAGTACCTGTCAAGATCAAAAATGAACACATTACATTACATTTGTTTAACGTGTACTAGAACTGACCCGGCCAGCCAGCTGCTGGCAGCAGCTTCATATTTATGTCATGACCTCAACAGCTGTGTCTACACAGGAGGTGTAGTGTGAACAGCTTGTTATGCTGCATCCAGGCTCTGTATTAAGTTGTTGAAATGTAATCACCTGCTTTTTGGCAGCACTCAAAACCCAACACACAATCACTGTATTTGCAGTTTTAAAAAAATGAACCCTTACGCTGTCTTTGTAAGCTATCTAACTAAGCTTGGTCCATGACCTCGCTGCCAACCTGGCACAAACAGTAGCCAGCCTTCCCACTGTTTGTCCAACAAGTTCACAGGAAGGTTGACTGTAATAACACTGTAGGATTCATAAACGCTGCAGCAGATAGGGCAAATTAAGGCGTCTTTAACGTATAACAACTAACCAAAAGAGGAAAGTAAAGATTACCAAGTTGCACCTAATTTGTGTCCACTACACTAAAGTAAAGACAATATTCCGGCAAACACTTGCAAAAGAAGGTATTGTTTGAACCCTGGTAAGCAGGTATAACCTTCTGCTTTTTACAGATTACTGTAAACACATCCAATCCTATATTTAAGCAAGATGAAGGATAGCAGATTGATCAGAAAATGCCTGCAGAGTATCTGTATCCTGTATTAGAGTGGCCAAGCTTCTATTTTACTGTTTCCACCCCGTTAGGCTGAGTGTGGGACATAACAGTTACCTGTCCAGATGAGAGAGGACCTCACAAAGTTGGTTGAGCAGGGCGCGGTGTTTGTGGGGGTTTCCCTCAAGCACCCCACTGAGACGACTCAGGTACGAGTCCAGGTTTCCGAGAGATGCTGTCTCACCTGTACCTGTTCAGAATAAACACAGGAATGAAATCTACACACATCTTTGAATAGTGTTATTGGATCTTTTTGTGGTAACATAGTTGAATTTAAGTATTAATATGGAAATGATTCTGGTCTGTATTAACAAATATTCACATTTCAAATTCAAGCAGCCACACCATTTAAGAAGGAAAACAATATCGATAGATGTATAATGACCTGTTAAACAAAACTTTGCACGAAAATGAAATAACAGGAAATCTATCTCATATCATACAGGAGCATTAGTATCCATTCATTCCTTTATTCTGACTAACTACAGCCACATGAATCCTGACCTGGCAGGGGGACTGATGAGAGACTGTTGACCAATGTGTGTTTAATAGCCAGCAAGTGTTGATGAAGAGCTTGGGTACGCTTCTCGTCCTGCCCCAGTTCAGCCTCCAGGCGCTCTTTTGCATTGTACATGTCCTTAATGTGCCGCTGCAGCACTGCGTTCTGCTCTTCGAACTCGATGTTGGCCTTACGAAGCCGTCGCAACTCAGCCTCTCGAGCTGAAACCGCAACGAGTGAAACAAAGAATGTTTGACGGGAGCGTGAGATGATGTCTTAGTGTGCAGATCTACCTTAACATTAGTACATGTTAAACACTTCTTTGTTTTACTTGTGATATAACAGAACGATGGTTTCCTGTTGTCAGTTTCTCTGTTACCTTTGTTCTGGTCGAGGAACTCTTCTGTGAAAATAGGGATGTCAAACCTGCTGGAGAGGTCAGAAGCCTAAACAGAAATCATTAGCAAATGGACACGTTAGCTCAAAGCTTGTGTGAATATACAGTCATAAGGTATTAGAAAATCCTGTACCTTTGTTAAAGATGACCCTGAACTGGTACTGAAGATGACTGATGGAGCGTCTTCTGAAAGAGAAAAACACTATATGAACACCACATACACATCACATGGCACACAGCAATGCTACGCAAATACAGGTTGCTCTTTGGACTGGTACTGTGGTGCTTTATATACGTTATATAACTGATATGAATACACATGCATGAGCAGTCATCAGCCTAAAAAAGCATGAGGTAAGCTGAGGTCTTTTGTCACCTTTTTTGATCCTCTTGTCTTGTATCTTAGCACTGGTGATCTGATAGGCCTCAGTCTGCTGGTACTCTTTCAGTTCCTGGGCGTATTGCATCTTCTCCCGTTCCGCCTCATCTAAATAGCGCTGTTAGCACACAAATAAGGTTGTGATACTTCACTGGAACTTGGTGTGGCTTAAAAACAAGCCCTGGTTCATTTGAATTGTTTTGCAGAAAATAGTGAAGTTGAACATTTCGGCAAAAAAAGTTGTCAGAGTACACATTTCACCATCTTGCTGAAAAGAACATCCACTGAGGAGGGAAATCTTTTAAGCAAAAAGAATCTGTGTGAATGCAGTTTATGTGTATGATTGTGAACAAAAAACAAACTAGCTCATAGTTAAATAACTCAAGCATCATTAAATACTCGGTTCTCAGAGTTTGTGTTGTATTAAATCAAGTGTGCATACATGGAAAACTTTAACGATCTACCTGTTTGTCATTCGGGGCTAATCGTGTCCACTCTGCCCCGAGTCTCTTGGTGATTTCCGGAAAAGGTAAGTCGGGGTATCGGGCCCGCATATGTTCTCGTCGTTCGTTCAGGAAGCGGACATATCCTGTTACTGGTGCCTTGGGACCATTTGGTAGCACCTTCTTTCTTTTCTTTCCCTTCGGCCAGCCTCTCTTCTTGGGCTGCACAGAGATAAAACAACACTCTAAGAAACATCTGCGTCACTCCTCACTGTTCAGTAGACAGCTAGCATAACATAAATACAAATTAGGGTTGCAGCTAGTGATTTTCACAATCAGTTAAAATATGATGCTGATTATCAGTCAATATAAAATTTTCTATCTTGCTGAAGAGTGTGTTCAGATTGCTTACTTTGTCCAACTAACACTCCAAAACTCAATGGTATTAAATTTACCATCATAAAAGACTAAGACAGCCAACAAATACTCACATATCAGAGTATAAATGTAAGTATTTTTCCATTTTTGGTTGAATAACTACCAGATGAACTGAGCTGCAGCTCCACTACCTTCACCCTCATACACAAGAAGCTGCCTGTAATAAATCCTACCTTCATAAAGATTACAGTGTTTGGGTTTTATGAAACAGATTTACAGATATGTTGCATTCTTCCAGGTTTCCCTGGAGGAAGAGATGTGGTATCTCAGTGAGACCATCAGGCTAAACAAAGGATACAGAAATACTCAATATGAAGGCTGTAGCGTTTTCTGCTGTTTAACTGTACAGCATAAGACTTAAAAAACATTTATGTTCTACCATCTTTGTACGTCATTTATTGATTCCACCCATCTTTGTTGTTTTGCTTCTATCATTCAGTTCAACTATTCACACAATGTCCCCGTTACAGGCTGTTTAGACTCAGTCAACCTCTTCTGTGCAAATAAAAAGCCTTTAAAATTCTCTTTTATTTTACCCCCGTCTGTAACATTATGAGAGAGGCACCTTCAAGGGGGTTCAGGGGGGTCAAAGCTCTCATAGGTCAAGTTCATTCACCAAAACTCTGATGTCCAAGTCACAGTGAATGCAACTAAGGTGTATCAGTGAAAGTGAAAGCAGCATTGACGACTGGCTCAAAATGGCTGTTTGTAGCACACAAAACAACACAATGGTAGAGTCTTTAATTATTTATAATCTATTTCTGACATGGAGACAGGATCGATAAGGACCTAACGTTAAATGACACCGTGTATTTTTCTTCACCTCTGACAGGTGAGCGGTTAGAAAACAGAATTACAGTTCATCAGCTGCATTTAAACCATTTGCTACAGCTGAATCCTGAACTCCATCACAGATATATACTATTTAACTGTAAAAGTCTGATCCATTGACTAAAGTTTAAGTATTTATCACTGAAATCACATTTTATTACACCATAGATGACTACAGTTTCTTAAACTATGATCACACATTGACTGCACAAAAAACTCAAAAATAAGAACTTTTGCTTCTGTGTGAACTTTTTCTTCTCAAATACACAGCAGCATCTCTTCTACTTGGCTATTTTGGACTTTGGTTGTCCTACTTACAAAAACTGTATCAGTCTATGCACATTGAATTATTAGCAACCTTCACTGTCAATTAAGAAACAAAAAGGTCGATACATATGTAATTAAAAAAAAAAAATTACACAGTTTTCAGCTACCTTCTATGTTGTATTTTGTGCTGCAAACTTTCTGATGGCTCTCCTGCGTTTTGATCTTTATTAGAGGAGGCTTTTTATCTAGGTGTAAATTACTTTAGGCTCAGTAATGTACCAAACAAAATGGTAACGAGGTGAATTAGTGAACAGCATCAGTGCGACTGCCTAAACAAAATTTTCAACCAGTTTTTTTTTTTAGCTGTAAAATCTAACATCCTTCCAACTAAGGAAGCAAAACCAAAGTCTTTTACTATCCCTGTTAATGGTGGTGGGATGCAGCAGTGCCCACCTCATCTTGTGGAGGATCCGCTGTGTGTGAAGCTTTGGGCTGCTGGGATGCATCACTCTGCTCCTGTTTGATGCCTCCCATGATCTCCGTCCGTGCGAAGTGTGAAAACGAGTCTCAATCCGTTAGACTTGTACCGTGGGAGGAATTCTGCGCAGACAAAACGAGACAACTTGTACAAAGAGTCGTGAGGAATTGTGAATTTCAGCATTAATCCTCCGGGAGGGACGCCGCTTTTCAAGCTAACCTCACTGCTAACAGTTCGCTGCGGCTAACTGGTCGCTGTTCACACACACACGCGCACACACAACGGATAAAAATCCGCACAAAAACGTAATCCAAACTGTCTACTCCTCATTTAGAGAAAAAAAAACACGCAAAACATGTACACGTAGATTTAATAATGGCTTATTTACTCGAGACAATGACGATTAGTAGAAATGATTTCTACTTTTTGGATGAACGCTTTATTACTCACCCGATAATGAATCCTCGGCCAAACAGGAAGAGAAGTCGAACTGTCATCTGATTGGTCGAGAGGGAGACTCCTGATTGGTCGGTTGAAGACCCCCCCCCCTCCATAAACCAGTTTGCACCGCACTCAGTTATAACAACAACAACACTTATACTAATAATAAGAATAACAACATTAAAAAAAAGCAACAACAATATAAAATGAGTGGAAGCCCATAAAAGATACTCAGAATGACAGTATTGCAACAGAAACCGAAAGAAAAACATACCACAGAAGCAAAAAAGTGTAGAAAAGAAGTTACAAAATACTAAATTTTAGTAGGGTAAGGTAAAAATATCCCCTTATGAACCACTATTTTATTTTAAAAGTATATAAAGATGTGTTTTAAACATCAATATAATACATATTTTTTCTAACATGCTTTTTTTTTGACATTTTTAACTATATCTGGCTATCAATTGATATTGAATGTACGGACTGGGAAAGCTACTATTAATTTAACCTCTGCGATAAATAAAGCTGAACTGAAATAAAACCACAAAACCAAGTGAACACATAAACAAATTTAGAGGGCAACTAAATTATGCCAGATAAGCTCTTTAATATCATAAAGCTAAATATGAAAACGTGAAAAGGGGCATCTTCCCTCGGTCATATAAAAAGTGATATTCCTGAAAGTTTGAAAAAGTATGAAAGAGGCCTCTGCAATTATAATAATATTAACAGCTTTATGTATATAACACCTTTTCAAAACCGAGTTCACAAAGTGTACAAGCAAAAAAAAGGACATCAAGCTTTTTTTTTTTTTACATTGGAATATACATATATCACAGTTTACCATTTACATGAGTCATAAGAATGCTATCCATTAATTTTCACAAGATGACTTTAACAAGATGACTTTTTTGTAATATGTGAAAGTATAAGAGTAGGATTTTCAAAGAAAGACGCTGCCTGCGATAAAACCTACGCTACTGTAAGGCTGAGCATCTCTGGTGAATATTGATTTGACAGTGTACTGTCGGGATTTTAATAATCAATGACAATAAAGTTATAGTACTTAGAACCTTTGTCCTAAGCCCATCGCTCAGTTAATAAACCTAATAAACTAAATGGATTAAAACCAAAAAGGATTTCTGTATGTGGTATCTAATATTTATGCTACAGTTAAAGTCTGAGCTACATAAAAAAAATAAAGTTAATCTTATGCTAAAGTAACAAATTTGCACTGATCACAATGAGTCATGAGGAAAAGGTACTGCCCTTTTTACGATTTTGCATTTAGTTTTACGATAACAAAGTTGCAGTCCGTTATGATTTAATTACCCACTAGATTAGTTCACTTAAGCAGACATTTTGTGTACATATTAAACTGATTCTCTCTACTGGTAGTATTGTTATTAACTACTTGTGAAAAGCATTAATTAATCTTCAATAAAAGGCGCCCACTGACACTGCCTCTTTTTCTCCACCATAGACACTGACTATGCGTTACATTAAGTCAAACCTTTGAACAGGATTAATAAGATCCCTTTATACATATCAAGCTGTTTACATCACATACTAGATGACGCTGCACTTTCTGGGGTGATTCATTTGCACATTCCTGCACACAGGAAGCGCTTTTATTACTTTGTGACTCATAATCTCTTGATTACACTTGCTGCTGATATGGCTTGTAACACTGCTTCTTATTGGCTGTTAGTGCCTCCTGACTGGCAGCACGTTCATATGTTACTGTTGTACACTGAAACAAGTCAGGGTCCTTGTATGTGAAAACCTACTTGGCCGTAAAACCTTTCTGATTCTGATTCTCAACCGGTGACAAATTCTTGACTTGCTGAGTTAATGTACACCCTTGTCAGGTGTGGCTTTACATGCTGCATTTATATTTTTACTGTCCAGGGTGTAACTCGCCTTTTGCCCAAATTTCCCAGAGAGAGGCTTCAGTCCCTTGTGAACCTCTCCAGGATGAAGCAGAAGGATGAATGGATGGATGAATAATCTAAATTTATATGTAAATGGCAATAAATACTTGTTAATGAGAGAAAGTGACCATGAGAATGTCTTCAGAAGTACTCTTTTGCTATTATGTCTGATTTGCTGCCCTCCTTGTTGCATTGAGTGTCCTTGTCACCAACATTTTCCTAAATATATCTTATCATCGGAAATGTTCCACTATTCACCTGTGGTTACAAAATGTAACTGCACTGCTCTAAACTATTATTAATATTATTTTTTTTTTACATTTATTAACAATTTTCTGTCCACACAAACACTAAGGCCACATGCCTTACAATGTAGCACTGAATGACATCAAATCACTGAACATGCAACAAACACGTTTAAATGACCACAAATTAAAACTGAAGAACATGTTACCAGGTATGTTTAACAAGTTTGAGGTTAGTCATAAAAGTCTAACTGTAGTCAGTTTTTTTTTATTTCCCTCAAAGTTTAAAGCAGCTAAGAAGGGGAATTCTTCTTTTTGGAACATGGAGAGGTTTGGAGTTGTCCACAGGCATCTTGTTTTAAGAATAAATAATAATAAAAAATCACATACAGAGAGTACATCTAATCAAAGAGTCCACGTTTGAGTTCATTTTATAGCTAAAAACTTTCATCCTATGGCAAAGCCAAACATTTTGCTCTTCAACCAATCATGTAAATCATCCCAAACTGCTTTGGTATATTGTATTTATAGGTCTGCTGTTGCTTCATCACTTTTTAAAAAAATGCACACATGTATATAAAAATTAGATTTGGATTTATATGCATTGAATTAATTCCTTTAAAAGACGCCTCCTTATCTGTTGGAGGAATGTGTTTTACAGCATATTGATTTGGGAAATTTTAAGAGTTTTAATGTGAAAGGCCTTGGAATAAATCTGATGTAATATGTATTTGAGATTTTGCTTTGTGTGAGTTGAGATGGTTAGTTCAGGCCAGACATAACATGAATATACAGAGTTTCCTCATCAACATGAGGACTACAGATACTTTTAACTATTAAAACATTCGAAGCAGAAGTTGTCTGAAGCAAGGGAATTGCTTGTGTAACATAATATTGTCAATCCATTCCTTCCTCTAACACATCTGTTCACATTGTACATACTGATGAAAGGGTGGGGTTGACTGGCAGTTATGAAACAAAGTTATATTGCAAGATGAATTCAGAAAGGTTTTCTTTTTCCTTATATATTCAAGTGATAAAATTATTAATCTTTTTGGTTTATTTATGGATGAAGCAAGCAAGCAGCTTATATGCATCTAGACATGGAGGAGGCAACGCTAACAGCCAAGACCCAGCACTGCGAGGATTTTGTGTCAATGATTCTGCTGATTCAGGCATGTCAGTTTTACAGCATACAGTAGGTTGTACGCAGGACTAACACCAACTCTTCACTCTTCAAATAATGGAGAGAAAAAAACCCCTCAATACCCATCACCTGTTTCCAGAGGCTTACTGTGACATCATCCAACCCTAGATGTCAAAATTCTGAAATGGCTGACAAAAAAAACAAACAAAATAGCAAAAACTCCGATTCTAGAAACCAGTATCTTCCAGTTGTGCAGCTTATAGTGCCCAATAATGTAATGAGGAACCATATTGACATTTTTATACTTGCATGTAGTTCAAGTGTTTTGTCATAACCATGAAACAATGTAATCCAGAACTGATCATAGTACTATACAATACCTAATCAATAAGCCAGCTCTGACTGTCAGTCACGGATGAAGACAGTATGTTCTTCCAAAAGTGGACATGAACAGAAACTACCAATTGGTTTTCCACAACAGTCTGTATAGTACAGCCCTTCAATCCTTGCAGTATTTTCAGATCAACAAAGACACGCTGTAGAGACATTTGAAGCACAATATAACCATATAACTAACCCTTTAGGTCAATATAGTAAAACAACTGATGGTACAGAGTGTAAATCTTGAAATGAAACAATGCATTACCAGCTACATCATACTAATCTTCCGTATGGAAATTTGAACTCTCATCTTTGAATCACTGCCACCTTAGATGAATTGAAGTCTAACATAGCAGCCATGGTCATCCCCATAAAAAAACAAAGCCTGAACCATAAAAGTTTTTATTTTCTTTTATTAATTGTTTACAATTTTTTCAGTTGTTTAATTATTATTGTCGATCCTTTTGGCAATATTTAGTGCTCACTGTGTTCTGTACAGTTCAGTTCTACAATGTTGACTTCTTTTGTGTTGGTAGAGAGGAATGAGACGAGCCAGGTTCAGGCTTTTACAATTTGTCCAGGTAGTTGTCCAAGGCTGGGACACCTTCTTTGAGACCCTTGCGTTTGCGTGTCTCGAGGACAACGATACCAGGCTTGGTTGCTGCCTCCAGGGGGTTTCCAGGGAGGATCTGCCAATGGTCGAACACGCACTGTGGGAAGGCCTGGCCACCAGTGTTGGAACGAAGGTCGGCTGTGAAACCTGTAAACCAACAGAGCAGCACACATCAACACATGCTTTGTACGAGAATCACAAGTATAGTAAAGCAGTATCAGACTTGGGTCAACAGCTAGAGGCTTTTAATGTAAAAAGGCTGCACAATTGGTCAAGAGGTTACACAATGCGCAACGTTACTCTGATCAATGGAGAAACATGGAAAAAGACACGCAGGAAAATGACATATCCTAGGTGCACCAATTAAAATGTGAAACTAAGCTTACTTTTTAAAAAGAAGTACATCCCACTACCTTCATTTGAAAATATACAGTATGGTAGCTTCTGAAGATTATCCCCTAGTGTCCAAACTATCTCTCCTAAAGAAAAGTAGTTTCCTTCATACTTGTTGCACTTAAAATGATTTCTGCCAAGTAAGTCTCCTAAAAAGAAAAAAATACAGGACTGACTACATTCTGTATTTACTAAGCAGACTGTTGTATACTGAAACTGCAAAGCCAGAGTTAAATGGGCAGTGCGTGTCAAAAACTGCAGTTTGAGCAGGAAATTTGAATAGTCATTTCACACAAGACAAATGATGACATAACTCTCGAAATTCTCATTAATTTGTTGACACAACTTACACTGAAAGAAGCCTAAAAGGTACATCAATAATTAAGTGACAAAATCCGCACTGGTTTGAGAGAGGACTTACCGAAGGACTCCATGACAGGCAAGTAGGCCTTGATGACGTACATGGGTGTTCCCATGACTCTGCCCTCCTCAAACACATGACCACGTCTCCTGGTCAACACACCGTAGATTCCACCCATTGCTGTCTCAGGACACTGTTGAGTGGACAGGACATAGTGAGTCAACCTGACACTAATGCTGGTGAAATTATAAGCAAGTCAGCTATGGGATAAAACAAGCAAATAGTTGATAAAACTAAAATGCTTTGCACTGCAAAACATGAGCAGGTATGACGTACTCACTGATCATGTTTTATAGAGGTAAATATACATCTGATTACTGAAAGAAACCAGATAGGCTGCATCTCCTATGCAACTCACCTGGATCTCCACCAGGTAGACGGGCTCCATAAGCCTGGGATCTGCTGTGAGCTCACAAGCATACAAGGCTCTGCGGGCTGTGGGGATAATCTGACCACCACCACGGTGAATAGCGTCTGTGTGCAGGGTCACGTCATGGATGTCAAAGCGAATGGCACGCATGTTCTCTTCACAGAGGACACCCTAAACACAACATTGCAACAATTTGTGAGTTCCAGGTATATCCACCGTTAAAACAAAACATCATTGCATAAACTGGGCTCTTACCTCCTTGACGGCCCACTGGAAACCAGCCACAACACTGTCCTTGATCTCATTAAGGTACTGCACTCCCTTGGTCACATCCACCAGCATGTTGGGGCCAGTTCCGTCAGGTCCGAAGCACCAGATCTTTCTGGCCTCACCGACATCCCACTCATACTTATCGGCAAGGTAACGGGCACGGGTCTTCATCTCCTGACGAGCTGTAACGTCACCCTTCTCGATGTCCTCTGCCAGACCCTCTTCGAAGGGACGAGCCTTCATGAACAGACGGTTGTGCTTGTTGGGCGACTTTGACAGACACATGACACTTGATTCTTCGCTGACGGTCTCTCTGTAGGATACCACTGGGTCAGATTTCTATAAAGAAAAAGACGTGTTAATGCAGGAATGTTCAAGTCTAGGACATTTTATTTGTATGGCTCTTGAGCACAAATCAACTTCACTGAACTGTGATTTATCACCTTGAGTGGAATGCAAGCATGGTCCTCCTCCAGATCTTTCAGGCAGATCTCCAGATGCAGCTCTCCAGCTCCAGCAACGATATGCTCTCCAGATTCCTCAATGATGCACTGGACCATAGGATCGGACTTCGACAGACGCTTCAAGCCCTCCACAAGCTTGGGTAGGTCGGCAGGGTTCTTGGCCTCCACAGCAACTCTCACCACAGGGCTGACACTGAACTTCATCACTCTCATGTTGTGTGACTGCTCATAGGTGGTGATGGTTCCGGTCTTGACAAGGTACTGGTCCACTCCAACCAGACCCACGATGTTACCACAAGGCACATCTTCAATGGGTTCAACGTAGCGGCCCATCATCAAAATGGTCCTGGCAGACAGCAAGGTGGTAAAGTTTAATTCAGAAGTGACCAAATTCCTGATAAATTCACACCTTATAGTTGATCAACAGGCCACATGTTGAAACTTACCTCTGAATTGGCTTCAAGTACAGGTCGTCCTTCTTTCCAGGGACAAAGTTTGGTCCCATGATACGAACTTTCAGGCCAGTGGACACACTCCCAGAGAACACACGACCGAAGGCATAGAAGCGACCCTTGTCACTGGTGGGTACCATCTTTGAGATATACATCATCAGGGGAGCCTTGGGGTCACAGTTCTTGATACCTATGCAACAAATTTATTAAATCAGCATTAGTCCAAGAACAATTAGGCTTTCTACCCTTTCCAGATTCCATCATGGATTATTGCTAACATGCATGTTCTGTATACTGCATGTCTACTCCATTCTTGTACATGAGCAAAATGGAAATAAATCAGCTCCATACCCATGGCAGCCTCATCATCTCCAGGTCCTTCATACAGCAGCTCACAGCGGTACTTCTGGGCAGTGACAGGGGAAGGCAGGTGAATGGTGATCATTTGGAGAAGGGCTTCTCCAGCAGGCAGCCAGCGGCGCATGACAGCCTTCAGGAGAGGTTTACCCTCCTTGTCCTTGTCCTCAGCATCCAACTTAATTTCCATCTTGGTGATCAGCTTGGCAGTTTCCTCTTTCTTGAAGTTCATGATGGCATCAAACACCTAGAAGGAAATTAATGTGAATTAGTAGACTGCAATTTAACATGAGCAAAGTCAGGACATAAGTAAAAATCATTTCACTCAGTGCCTGCTCAGGTTGAAGGTTATCATCACTGGTTAGTCAGGTCAAAGTGAAGAATTTTCAGATCATCACTTGCAGGCATACAGAGCAACTGTTTACAAAATCTTGTTCTTTGAGTCTCACTACTTTGCACTCTAAATGCATTGCCCCCCATTACATTATTCAAATAAACCTGAAGTCTTGTTACCTTGAAGATGGGATCCAGCACAAGAGCACAGAAGGTGCGGGAGTACCTCTTGCCATCAGCTCCAATAGCACTCTTGACAAACTTGCCGTTCTCCCCATCAAAGTACCTAGAATAGTAAAGGTGTAAACATTAAGCAATACAATAGAGATGCAGCAACATCACTAAGATCTTTTCTGTGTGCCATTTTTCCACTGCTGGTAGCCATGCACTCTAATCACATGGCCTTTGTTTGATAATCAAGGTTTCTGTGTTGGAGGCGCACCTATCTCCCCACAGCTTCTTCATCATGTCTTCCACCTTCTTGGAACGCTCAGGTGCAGTCATCTGGGTGTTGCCCTTGGCAGCAAACTTGGATGCATACATCTCAGCAAACTGCTTGAGGGTGAATGCCCAGCCATGGAGTCCAGAGCCAAAGCCAACTGTGCCAATTACTGGATCAACCTAGAAAAGAGACCACTACATCAGTGTGTAATTATAGACTCTCCATTAAATGTCTAGTGTAGTTTTGTTTACACCTGCTTTGGAGATTTTACTGTGGAAGGTAAGACTCATGTTGTCTCAACTGAGTTGAGATCTTTCAGTTTGCAGAAATTTACTACTTCATACTCAATTGAATTTAAACAAGGTGAAAAACATTTTGACCCACATTCAGCATTGAACAGCAGTTTGAGTGCAAATAGGTGTCTAGATGCACACATATGTTCAATAAAAACAGCACTTCTATCACACTAGAATTCAAGTTATCAAACCTTCTCTGCTCATCATAGACAATGCAAGGGGAGACCCATACACAAAAAGTCAAGTGTGTGTTGCACTTTCAGTGTATAGACAACTCACCATGATGTCACCCATAGGTCCATTCTCATCCTCTCCATAGGTGGAGATGATGACGTTGACGGACTCCACAATACGCTGGAAGGTCTGGTAAAGGTCTTCAGGTTCAAGCTGCAACTCAAGCAAGGCACGGTCCATCTTGTTCATCATCAGGACTGGCTTGATACGCTCACCAATGGCCTGACGGAGCACGGTCTCAGTTTGCACACACACGCCTGGCAGGGATACACAAAGCAACTATTTAACACTTGGAATCTAAATGGAACAGCAGCATTTATTTTAAGCTTGAACATTTAAATGGCACAAGTGTCCCAGAAACATTTAGCAGCCAAGTTGCGATCATTTTTGAATATATGGGCCAAATCTCCCACCCATTTTTGTATGATAATAAAAAAAAACCTCCTGTATGCCAGGCATCTCTTTATTTGTAGTCAGTCTTTTTATTTTTTTGCCTGCCAACTTACAATGTGTAAGAGTCTAAGACTAGCCTTACCAGAAACACAGTCCACAACAACCAGGGCTCCATCTGTGACACGGAGAGCAGCAGTCACCTCAGAAGAGAAGTCAACGTGCCCTGGTGAGTCAATCAGGTTGATCAAGAAGCCAGAGCCATCCCTGCTCTGCTTAATGAAAGCCAAGTCGTTTTCACTCAGCTCGTAGTACAAGGAGATAGCTCTGCAGGTTAGACAAATTTAAATGGTAAACATTACACTACGAAAAGTACAGTTGCACCGTGTATGTTACAAATTCCACTTAAAGTATGATTAATATAGAACATTAAGTACATCCTGCAACATGTGACTAAGACAGTCACATCCATTTAATTCAATTCTGGCTGGATGTTAGGTAACAACTGGTGAATTACTTGTAAGGACACTTATTAAATATGTGCTCCAATAGTTAACGTCTTTGCTGAATAACTACAAATGTAAGAAACAGACAATAAAAACATTAGCTGTTTTTGTAAAAGTTTCATTATATTTTTTTTTCTCATTGTGGGGCTCCTCCCTGGGTGGTAATGCTGTTAAATCACAGAACAATATTAAAACTCAGTAATATTTGACAAATCTAATGCTATTTAATTTACCGACACTACTCAGCCAAATTTTATTTGTCTTTCATTTTCTTTATTGTGCAAATATGCAGACATGAAAAATTTGAAACTTGAATTAACTGGAACAGCTCACTAGACAGGCATATCAGGTGTAAATGATTACAGATATCAATAATCCAACAGAATAGGCAAAATAAACTGGATTTTGTTGACCAACAGACAGTTACTAACTAGTGAAACAGACAACCTCAAGCCAGAAATCTGCACCACTTAGATACTGCGCTGGAGCAAATCTCAGAATGAGTTTTATATTGATTTACTATTGGGCAAATAATAAATACTGCAAGAAAAACAGGCACCTAATCAACATGTTTTACTCTCTTGCTGCTTGGCATCAAACCCATATCTGGGAGAAAGAGTCACAAGCTAAGAATGCAGTCAGAAAAGTACCGAACACTTACGTAGACTTGATGGTAATGCAACGCTCCTGTTCATCCTTACGCGTGTCTGTGAAACGAGTTTCTCCAGCGCGAGCTGAGGCAATGATGCCAGCCTTCGACACCAGAGAATCTGTCAAAGTTGACTTTCCATGGTCAACGTGGGCAATCACAGACATGTTACGGATGTTGGCCTTCTTGTCCATGATGGCACGGATCTGGTCTACGGTAAAGTTCACCTAAGGGGAAAAGTACAGATTAGAAGATTAAAATAGGTCAAATGTTGGGAGTAAGTTTCTTTCAGCTTGGACGAAACATATGATCCTTTGTCACCATGACTCGTGGTCGGGCCTAGTCATTGTTTTTGCCAGCTTACGTAAACGTACAGATACAGAGGACATGTACGCCTTACAGGTAGAAACAGCTGGAAACCTGCCTGCCAAAGCATGACGTGTTTAAACCTGTTGGTCTGCCAACAGAAAAACAGCATTGCCAACAGTGTACTTAGTGCATATCTACCCATTTTGCTATTTCACTGGCCCAGGGATTTCCTTTTGTATCATTCTGTGTTGAGTATTTACTATAATGTAACTATTTAAACAGGTATTTCACCTTGCTCAAACAATGCCACAGGCCCCTGATATTGTTGCTGACGTACGTTAATCTGAAATGCTCTGCACTTCCACCCTGGGCGGAGAGAGTCCGCCATCACCAAAGATGACGTTATTGTTGTCTACGTTTTGCCGACTAAAAACACCCAACACTCCTTTGCCAGGACCTACAGGTATATTCTGTTTACAATAAGTTACTTCAATAACTTGACAATCTCCTCCATGAAACGGTAATAAAAACAGATTACAATCAGCATCTACCGGCATGAATAGGCCACGTGTACAGACTTTGAACCGAAATACCGGCAAGTTATTCCTCAGACACGAAACAACTTTAAAAATCACATTTTGTTCCGGGTCCTTCACCCAATATGGACGACGTGTTAAAACGACGCAGCTTTATCCCAATTTCCCTTCATTTCAAGCGTCATGAACGACAATTTAGCGGAAGACTAGCTAACGTTAGCACAAGAAGCTGTCAAAGTTAGCCAACACCGCTTTTACAAGGGTCGCCCGATAAAATTAAAGCGTATAAATTGAATACAGCTATGCAAACACGCAAGCAAGAAAAATAAGTTTTAACAACAGTCCAGAACTGCGTTTCTTTTATCTAGGTGGCGTTTCCAAGCTAACAGTACAGATGACAAAATGGTTGCCATTTTTGGTCCAAGCCATACCATATTATGCGAGTCACAGAACATCCATGCAATATTTCTCCCAGAGCTTTAATACTGACACTAATTACATCTTTTGGACCCAATAACTCGTTTATCGATCAGGGAAATGTGAAGAACTCACCATTTTGACGGATGGTTTTGGATTCTCTTGGTGGAGAAAAGAGACAAGGAATTTTACACTGCCCACCTCACGAGGGCATAGGCAGGGAAGAGGCCGCTGACGTCAGAAAACAGGGCTTTATACAGCGTGCGTGAGCTGCATGCGTCATCACGTAGCGGGAACGCCGAAGCGCGCCGAAGCGGCAACGCTCCAATTTCCCGTAAGTTGCAATATTCTTTAGACAGGTTGAGGTGACATAACAACTTTGCATCAGTTTAATATTTAAACTTAGATCTTTGAATTAGTTGACTCAAAACTAAAACTTCAGGTAACTTAGTGAGATTGACTTTCTAATATATTTTTTCCCCACTTAGAGTTCAAGATTTAAAGCCCCCTCCTCCATATTTACATGCCTGGACAATTTAAGACTGGTAATAAAACACACATTTTCAATGTAGAAGCCAATTCTCTTTTGTTTGTTGGTTGAACACGGTCACATTAGAATTTGCCTTATTCTAAAAATATTAATTATTACTTTATTTTTTCCAGGGCATGAGCCAAACTTTACAGGATAAGTGGATGCATTAAACTCATTTATTATTTGCTTTTGTGCCTATTAATAATAATAATAATAATAATAAGACAAATAAACAATTAAGCAGTGTATGTGAATTACTCGCTATTTGAAAAATTACTTTGCAAATGTTTGAGCTGGGTGAAGCAATCAGCTGCTTCCCCCCGTTTTGAAATGTAAATAATGATTTCCTAATGTAACTTCAGGCAAGCCAATGTCAGCACTCAACACGTGTAAAACTGGCATTTTAATCTGTAATTCTAGTTTGGAATATTATACCTTGGCGTTCACACAACTATCAGCATTAAATTTATTAATTACATGTATCATCATGTACTGTATTGTGTTTGACACAATTTGACAATTTGATTTATTTATTTTGCTTATTCTATCTATTTATCTATCTGTTTATATTCATATATATAGATTTATTTACTGTGTGTTTTATTCTTTCTTCTTCTTCTTCTTATTGTTATCATTATTATTATTATCAATATAGTTTTGGTCTGGAACAGGAGCATAATGCATTTCCCTGGGCATTATACTGTGTATAATTGTGTTTGTCACCAATAAAGGCCTTGAATCCTTGTTGCATGACTAAGTGGGCAGATGACCAAAAAATAAAAATGTGGTTTAATACTTTTGTGTGTGTACGTAAAATCCACATTATGTCTAAACTTTGAGCTTTTCTCACTGTTTTGGAATCTTTTGAGTTTTAAAAAAAAAAGGGATTTCTTGGTCTTATTCTCACTGTAAACAGACTGTTCATGTTATGTTGTTGGTCATTTTCCCAGCAGATGGCGCTTCTGTTTCACTTTTCATCCCACAAGTCCCGCGACTCACAGTGAACACTTGGCTGTTTTATTGTGGTGATAATTTTACACTTTCTGTTCTGTTTTAAATGTTTGTGCAAACCACTGCCGCATTCAGTTACACCTGAAATGCACAAACGATTTTGTGACATCTGTTTGTGCGATATTACTTCTCTACACCGCGTCATGTGTAATTTATTATTTACATTTCTTATACTCAAAATGTCGCCTGTTATAGTCCTAAATGAGAATTCAGTTAGCCTAAGTTAGTGATCGTCTTTGGTCTTTGTGTTAAAACCACATGTAGCTTCATCTCAAAGTTACTGTGTCTGTGTTTACGTTTGGTGTTTTATTTCATTTAGTCATCATCTAACCTACAGTGACATTATGTAAAGTCAGCACTCAATATGTCTACCATATGTCTAAAACTGGCATTTTAATTGGAAATTCCAGTTTAGTGTGAATGATGCCGTAACAGCATTAATCAAACCAGAAACAAAGAGAAAATTATACTTAGGCGTTATTAACTTTTACACTTGCAAAGCTAATACTGAGGAACATCAATGTTGACTTTATAAAATAAACTTTGGCTCAAATCTATCGAGTGGGTGGGCAGTGCACCAAACACCTGAATGTGGTTTAACACCTTTCACTAAGTATAAAATAACATACATTTATTATATTACCTGTAATGGCCTTTACTTTTGTTTAAAAAGGGATTTCTTGGTCTCATTCTTGTTGAGATTTCTTTTTCAATTTAAGCAGATTATTCATGTCATTTCGTTTGATTTTGTTTCCAGCAGATGGAGCATCAGGTCCAGATTGCAGCCTTCAAGTTCCACGGAGCTCAGGGAAAACTTAACCGTTATCTTAATGGTCATTTTACGCTTCCAAAACTGTTACCCTGAACTGAAATGATAAGTGTTGAACTCACCTGTGGCAGTATATTATAGCTACACATCTGCACTGAAGGTAAATACATCCATTTAACTTAAAGGTTTGTGGAGTAACCCAGTTATATTCCACATTATATATTAAATTGTTATATAATCAGGAAATGAATTAAGTCAGACATGGGTAGGTGTTACTGTGTCCTTCAACCTTGACATAATTCCAGTATAAATATGAAACATATCAGATTACAGTCGACAGCTTTAGCTTATATAATTGTAACACCTTCCAAGAAATATTTCTATTTCTAATAAGGCCAAGAGCAACCTTTTATTAATAAGATGTATAATATCAGATGAGTCATTTAGCCTCATTAGAAGATAGCAAGGAGACCTGTATTTCATTGTCTATTAAATACAGATGTGCTCACATCTGTGGATAGAGCAATACATTAGTTATGTCCAGGTAGAATAAAAAAAAATGTCTGTCTGTGCAGAATTGCGATTTGTGTGCCAGCAGACCTGGAATGAAACTTTTCACAGTGAAATAAGGGCATAAAACGGTACATAAACCAAAGTAGCATGATGAAAGTGTTTATATGTCACAAAGTCAGTTATTATTTTTCTATAAAAATCCACTGAAGCAAGAGTTAAAAGTCTGGTCCATAACAAATACTGTGGGAACACATTTTAATTAAAAAAATACGACTTTATGTGCGCAATATTTCACTGTCATGTACAACATTGTCACTGTAATGTGCAGTATTTCATTCACAGGTTTAACATTTCATTTTCATCTGCAGTATTACATCATCACATGTGATATAACTTATGACCTTGTTATCATTACCAGCATTACTTTTTACTTTTAGTCATACTTGAGCTCACTTATTTTATCTCAGTACTGTGTCTTGCTTATGTCTTATTGCTTTTCTACAGGATGCTGCATTTATTCTCATTTCATGTCTTTTTTTCTGAACATCATCTGTCACAAGAATAAGCTGTGTGAGAGCTGGCTTATTTTGTAACTGACTTCACATCTTCAGTGTTTGTTTAAAACTCTCAGTGGCAATAAAAGAAAAAAAAAAATGGAGATGGGTTTTCAGTTCCCATCCAGCAGTATGTTTAGAAACTAGAACATATTACATAACATATTGCACAATAAAGTAAATGTACTGTACATTATCAATAATACAGTGACAAAGAAATAAGCCCATGAAACATTTGCTGGAAAAAATTTTGATATGAATGTCAGGAATGTACATTTCAGCCATTTGAGCATTGGATTTATTGACGGGCCTCTTTCTGTTTCCTACAATGAAGCTTTTACACCATAGAAAGTACTGTACAACAAGAAATGCCTGCATGAAGAAGGTTGCTGACTGAAATGTGGTGTAGGAGTCACGAATAGCAAACATAATCAGTTTTAAAACTTTCAATACATAGAATATACGTGTATTTTTCCATTTCTTGTCAGTTGTTGAATTTCTCCTACAGGTCTCTCACAATGCGGGATGACCTCACTGCGGTTTTATACACCTTTCATTATTGATTAAAAAAAAATAAAAAATCACAGTTTGCTATAGTGAATAATGTAACTTTGTGTGACATTTTGTGTGCAGTTCTCTATTTGAATTCTGAAAGTCAGCTCTGTCAACATGATACAAAACAAGTAGATGGATGGATAAAAAAACAACAACCCATTCCTCATTTCTATGTAAGGTAGGCCGTGACCTTTATGTATATGTATGCAATGAAATACATTGAATTCATCTCCATCCACCCACTCTGCTGAAGCATGCTTTATTTGTGATAACATGTGAGGAAAGTGAAGAAGATTGACCATTATGTGATGAATTTTACAGACATGCCAGTTAGAGAAAAATGCTTTTTTCCCTCCCAAAAACATTGAAATATTCCATGATACCTATTCTAGGAGAAGACTGGAGGAGAGGGGAGGAGCACACAAGGAAGAGAATTAGAAAACAATTAGGCCTAACACGCATACGCCAAACACACAAACACAACACGCTGAACCAATCTGACAGTGTTAATTACCTGTGAGGACAGGAGGAAATCTGGGTAAAATGTTCTCAGTTTAACGCACCTGTTCGGCCTGTCGAGCCATGTGTGCTGTCATATGTGAAAATGTTCACGCCGGATGATTGACAGGGAGAAATGTCAGGCAGCTCAGCCTGAGTAATTGACTATGGATTGAAATGACACCCAACTTTTAGAGGGATGTGATTTCTCCCACAACAGCCATCTCCGGCAACACGTCTTGTTAAAGTTGTTTTTTTTTTTGTTGCTTACTTCAGGAACAGTCCCTGTTCTGCTGGTGCTTTATGTAACAGAAAGAGACAGAAGTCTGACACACACATATTTGCTTCAGTCTGATCCTCAGAAACGCCTGCGGGCCTGAAAGTCTTCAACTTCTGTCATTTATCCAGACTTGCCCTCCGCTCTACCTCGCTGCCTTGGCTTGATCGTGGCTCTCATTTTTTCCTCCTGAGAGAGCCTGAAAATCACACGCTGCACATGAAACTCTAACATTAAGATTAAAGGAAACTATAAATGATTTCATTTGTTTGTGGTAATAAATCTAACAGCTAAAAATAATTGTAATAAATGACATTCCTTATTGTCTGGTGAAACACAGAAGTATAGATAAAACAGTGAACACATCTCAACATTGTTGAATCAAGATCACAGAGACTGATGCATTCTGTCTGGAACATCTCCAAAGCAGCAAGTAGAAACTATAAAACATAAATGAAGAGATCAATGCACGTTTTTATTGTTTGTTTTTGTCTG